CTCCACCACCACAAGTCCCAGTATCCCTCCCACCCCCCAACCCCCATCCCACCCTACCTCTGTGGCAGGGCATTCCCTTTTGTTATCTCTCTCCTTTTGAGTGCTGTGGTTTGCAAAAGAGACATTGAGTGGCAATCTTGTTCAGTCTATAGTCTATTCTCATCACACATTTCCCATCCTGAGAGGAACCTCCCAACACCCTTTCTTTGGTACTCCCTTCTCTATCTGAGCTGCCTTTTCCCCTAGCATGTGTGGCTGTCCTCAAAGCCATGGAGTAATCCTCCTGGTACTTATCTCGGCTATTCTTGGGTGTTAGTCTCCTGTTTTGTTACTTTATGTTCCCCAGATAAATGCAATCTTTCTATGTCTGTCTCTTTCTTTCTGACTCATTTCGTTTAGCATGATATTTTCCATGTAGTACCACTTGTATATGAATTTCATGACTTCATCTTTTCTAACAGCTGCATAGTACTCCATTGTGTACACATACCAAAATTTCTTTAGCCAGTCATCTGTTCTCGGGCACTCAGGTTTTTTCCAGATTCTAGCTATTGTAAAGAGTGCTGCAATGAATAAACAAGTGCAGATGTCACTTTGACTATACTTTTTTGATGAGGCTGTAATTTTCTGGAGCAAATGCTATGTGCTTCACAGAAATCTCCAAGTAGAATTATCAAGGATAGCTGCTGTATGGAAAACAGATACTGATGGTGGTGGGGTGGAGGTGGAGGGGGTGGGGGATGGTATCTTGACTATTTCTGACCCCCTGTAAGTGCAGAACTTCTGCCTTTACCAGGCCAGGCTGTGTGGGACAGCTCTTGCTTGGATTCCTTTTCCTACTCTGCTTGTTAGGATATGAATGGCAGTGGAGGGAAATAGCAGGATGCATTTGTCATGGGTTTATGCTCTAAAGTGCTGATATCTGGGGAAGAAGCCTCTAGATTTATGTGTCCATGGGGCACTCGGAACATTGCTGGGGCAATTGAGGTGTGCTCATTGTGTCATGTGTGTATTGAACTTTGAACTATTAGCTCACAAAATAATGTTAGCATTCTCAAGTTTATGTGGACTACAATTTAAAATGATAACAAGAAAGATAAATTGGGTTCAAAAAATGTTACTGAGTTAATTTTGCTTTTAAGATGACTACCAAATAGCGATAGCACAGCGGTAGGGCGTTTGCCTTGCACGCGGCTGATCTGGGTTACCAGGGTTCGATTCCTCTACTCCTCTCAGAGAGCCTGGCAAGCTACTGAGAGTATCTTGCCCGCACAGCAAAATCTGGCAAGCTACCCGTGACGTATTCAATATGCCAAACACAGTAACAACAAGTCTCTCAATGGAGATGCTACTGGGCCTGCTGGAGCAAATCGATAAACAATGGGAGGACAGTGCTACAGTGCTACCAAAAACGTTTAAATCTACCAGACTCCTTCTGTAGCTCTGCTAGACAATGAAGCTCTTACATCCTTACTAGAGAGCTTAAAGAAAGCAACATCCATCTGCCATAATGTATTCTTCGGAAACATACTTTTTCCTTTCTTGTTTATGTGAGTAAACTATCAGCTTCAGAAAGTGCAGAAGCAGGCACAGGGTGGAACGTCTTCAAATACAACAACAATCCTTTGCTTTCGGATGATGCATACATTATCTTACAAGAAAAAAAATCAACCAAAATTTGGAGGAAACTGCACATCAGCTGAAGTGGCTCATGCCACCACATACTAGCAGGGCAGTCTCCAGACATATGAGAATGCTTCCTGTTCAGTCCTGAGCTGTTGGCATTTCACGGGGAGGGTTGAAGAAGTTGTTTCTGGCACAGGGGAACTGGAGAGATAGTACAGGAGGCAAGGCACTTGCCTTGCATGCAGCTGAACTCAGTTCAATTGCTGGCATCATAGAGTCCCCAAAACACTTCCAGAAGTCACTTCTGAGGACAGAGCCGGAAATGTACGGGCTATGTACGGGCCCCCCAAATGTGAAAAAATAAGATTAAATATTTAATTTATTTATTTTTTCTTTTTGGGTCACATCTGGCAATGCTCCGGGGTTATTCCTGGCTTTGCACTCAGGAATCACTCCTGGTGGTGCTCAGGAGGCCATATGGGATGCTGGGAATCGAACCCAGATCAGCTGTGTGCAAGGCAAATGCCCTACCCACTGTGCTATCACTCCAGCCCCAATATTTTCTTTTTTATGAAAACATTTTTCAACTCCTTTTCCCTTTTTTTATTGTTGCAGGGACCAGGGGTTGCATACTCAGCTGAAGTGATCACAGGGCTTCTTAGTTAGCTGTGGTGCTTGAGCAGGTCCTGGCTGGGGTGCTTACTGGGGTCCACTTGTGTGCTCCCTGGAGCTGGCGCTCCTGACCATGATGCTCACATATCTTTAGTTGAGGTCATGCACACACGACATAGTAGGAATCGCGCTCTGAAGTGGCACTGAGGGTCCCAGACAGCTGTGTTGCTGAGAATGTACTTGGAGTATTCTGATAGCATTCTGAAAGAACTCATGGCCTAAAGGTTGCAAGACATTCTGCTATGGAACTATCCCCTGGGCCCCCAGATCTTATTTATTTGTGTGTGTGGGGGGGGGGGGGAGGGGGGCGGTGGGGGGCACATCCTTCTTTGTGTTTGTGCTTGCATACATTTGGCTCAATGCTCAGATATTGTTCCTGGTGTGCTCGGGGACTGTCTTAGGTATCTAAGATCAAACTAGGGTCAGTTACATGCCAGCCAAGTGCCTTATGCCTGTGCTGTCTCTCGGGCCCTTGGATTTCCATTTAAGGTCTGGCTGACCAGCTGAAGATACTCTTAGGAGCTGAATAGGCCCCTTTGTGCTGAAGTCTCGATCTTGGCCTAAATCTCAAGTGTCCATTAGTTCCTGGTGTCACTTTAGCTGGATACAGACACAGGTAACTCTAAGGTAAATTGTCAGATCCTGGGCTAGTCTTCTTCCTCCTAACCCTTTTTTTGGGGAGGGGGGGGGTGGGCACACCTGGTGTGCATAGGGCTTATTCAGAAAATCACTTCTGTCAAGGTTCAGGGAACCATATGGGATATTGAACCCATATCGACCTGTATGCAAGGCAAATGCCTTACCCTCTGTTTTATCTCTTTGGCCCCCTGGTCTATCTTTGTTTTTTATCATTAGGATATTTTAAATGTTTCTGACCAGCCCTTTCCTGAATTTCCACAGCTCATATGACCTTCTGGGTGGGGCAACTGCTATCCTATAAAGCAGACACAATAATGTGAGTTTTTGCAGCCCAAAAGCTATAACACTGATCCTGCAAGTGAGACCATTATAGAAAAAGAAACATTTATAGATCACAGATCTATAACTAATGCCCCATGTAGAACTTGAGTCCTTGACTTTATTTTCTTTGGAGATGTAGCTCAGTGGTAGAGTCCTTGCCTTGCATATATGAAGCCCTAAGTTTGATTCCCCAACCTCACAAATGAACTAGATAATAAAATGTCCTCTCACTTTGACCAGGGGCAGGACCTGTGAATATTATAAACTCTCAATTCTGGAGAGTAAACCACATTCTATGGTGAAGGTGAAGGGATTTTTCTGATGTAACAAATCCCTGTTTACCTGACTTGGGGATTATTTTGGATAGGCTGGAATTACTTAGGTAAGCAAGCCCCTTAAAGGAGGATATAAGGGGTCTGAGACTGATGTCATTGAGATTCAGATTAGCATGGAAACTCTCCTATGAGGAAGCAAATGAAGGTCCTGTAGGAAGAGACACATGGCTGGAGATTTCTAGGAGCTGGTTGCTTTGGTTTTGTAACGACAAAGAATGGGATTGTCAATGACCACTGGACTTGGAGGAAGCCTCGACATCTGTATTAGAGCACAACTTCTATTGACAATCTGAGCTCATTCTGGAGGGACCTTGAGAAAAGAACCCTGTCAATTCATGCCCCAACTTTGGAACTATAGGAATTGTGTGACAACAAAGGTCGTGCTTTGAAGCCTCTTATGGGAGGGAGAATGCTTTTTAACAGTACAAGAAATACGGTACCATGTTGAGAAAAAAAACATCAGAATTCATGGTTTGTTTCCAGCTTACAATGAACATTCCAATCCATCCTCACACTATCCTTAGAATAGACATTTGTTTGATTTCCAAACAGTTTGGTCCCAGAAGTTTTACATGCCTGTTTCAACCCTCTGTAAACTTCTGGGCTCCGTGTGTTTCACAGGATTGTGTGTGGTATAAAGAAAGATCTGAACAGTCCTGTCAGCTCAATGAGCTCAGCTGTGAGGTTCTGGAAAAACCCAGCCCTCTACACTCCTGCCTGCACCCCCAGAAATATGGGTGGGGCTAATCACTAGAAAATGGGATTAGTTTCTAATTGACCTGGGAAAAACATAAAATAGCAGAAATAGCCTATTGAAAAAGAGTAGATAATTTATAAAATGAAAGTTTTATGTGGTTAAAATCCACAGAAGTATCTCTGAAGAAAAAAACATTTATTCCAATACAACATGAATCTCTCTGTTCATTGCAGCTTTCTACACAGTATCCAAATAGCTAAATAGATGTGATAGACAATATTTAGACAAATAGCTAAAAAAGATGTGATATGAACATCACAGAATGCTATTCAGTCTGAAGAAATAAAATGATGAAATCTTGCATTCTGACAATATGAATGAAACGAGAGGGGTCATGCTCATTTAAATAAATCAAAAGGAGAAAGACAAATGCCAGACTCTATCAGTCCTATGTGAAATATAAAGAAACAAAGAAAATTATCAAACAAAAAGGACATTTAGACTCTGTACAAAATGGTGGTTACCAGTGAGGAAGGTGGTTGGATATGTGTCTTGCAGAGGACTTGTGGGTGGGAAGAATAGCTGTAAATCATTGATTGGATGTTTGGTGAAAGTTATTAGAGATTGTTGGTGGGCACTTTAAAGCATTAGAAAAGGTATAATCTTGCGCTCTACTCTTGAAATGTCTACACTGTACTCTTGAAATGTATTCATTAGCTAGTGTTACCTCAATTTTTTAAAAAAACAAAGAAGCCTTTAGGAGATTTTATGTATTTTATTGTCATAAACACGGAAAAGAAATAGCTGTATACTGCCATTCTACTAAGACATGATTTAAACTTCAAAGTAATAATTTTATAAACCTATAGAACCTAATTTCAGTGCAAACATCTTTGAAATGATGAGACACCATTCCACTGACATGGTGAAAATATACAAGGAAGATTATCCTTGGTAACCCTCTCCTTAATTTGGACATACAAAGACTCAAGCTTCTGTTGTTGCACAATGGTTGCCTGTCTCATTGTGGAGTACAGAACCCCATTTGACCTCACCTGCTGCAGAATGCATGCTTGACCCTTCATGGCATTTCTGTGACCACGCTCACTGCCCCTTCTCCTCTCCACTGGTTGTGACTTTCTGTTTCACCATCTTAGAATAACCCCTCACCTACTATTTGCTGTAATCCTTCTCATGTAATATTTTTAAAAAATTTGAGTACAGATATTCTTGAGTTTTTCTACATAAACCATGAAAGACTGTACCTTCCCAGGGTCTTCCTTGGTTTTCTTAAGAGCCTACATTCTGAAATATCCAGTGGGCCTTTATTCACCTCTTTACATGTTATTTATCTCCATGTAAACAAAAATAAATGGAGAGAAGATCTATACAGTATAAAAAATAATGCAAATGTGATGCCAATCAAATATTAATTGCAGTATTATTTAAAATAGCCAGTTATGGAAGCAAAGTATCTATTGATAAATGACTAAGTGGAGGAAATGTGGAACAATAGAATACTATCCAGATATTTAAAAAGAGATGACTTTTTTCCCATTTGCAACAAAATGGAACCAGCTTGAGGGAATTATGGGAAGTGAAATAAGTCAGAAGGAGAAGGGCAAATGTTGGGTGATTTTACCCATATGCAAATGATATGGATGTACAACTGGTGAACACACACAGCAAAATAGAGAAACCAGAGGACATTGGCAATAAAACTAAAGTTAGCTGGAGAGAAGGTGGATGTGGGTGAAAATATTAAAAATATGTATTAATTATTTAATATTATTTAATATATTTTTTGTTTGGGGTCATACATAGTGGTTCTCAGGACTTAGTCCTGGTTCTGTGCTCAGGGATCACTCCTGGTAGTGTTTGAGGGACCATATGGGATGCCATGGATCAAGCTCGGGTCAGTGCATGTAAGGAAAACGTACTACCTACTATACTATCTCTTTATTTAATGTACTTTAAAAAAATAGAAATAGGGAAGAAGACAGATACACGAATCACTCAAGAGAGGTATTACACTAGACTCACAATATTTCCAGAGAATATTTCTGTAGTTTATATTAATCACTCCTTTTTGAATGTTGCAACCTTAAAACCTCAGAGTATGAGCACACATCTCTTTGCAAGAATCTTACTTAATAAACAATCTTTCGTGCAAGAAAATCTTTGTCCCTGGCAATGACATTCACACAGTGTCAACAACATTAGGCAGTGTTGGACTACTCTACGATCTCGTAGCTCTCTTTGCACCAACAAGAGATCCCAGGTTCCTTCTTTCTCCTCTGTTCCTCTTCTGTCCCACAACAGAAATATAATACTGCCTTATGATCATTGCTGATGAGTCTCTGAGCCAAACTTTACAAAGTCACTGCTTTCTATCATTTTGAAGTCTCCTACTTATTTTCACGGCAGAGTCTGGCAAGCCACCGTGGCATTTTTGATATGCCAAAAACAGTAACAAGTCTCACAATGGAGATGTTACTGGTGCCCGCTCGAGCAAATCAATGAATAATGGTAGGACAGTGGAGTGCTACTGCTTATTTTAGGATATTCTTGGCACAAACAAACAAACAAAAACAGTGACTCGACTCTGTATCTTATAATTGGGTGGGAAAGATTAAATATTTCCTTTAGATTTTGTTTTCTGGAATTTGGATCCCAGATTATAACCTGGATGGTGGGAAATACACATTCAGGAGGGTGTGTGTGGTTGTGGTAGGAGTGAGGGGTACATTATGCATGTATGCTATAGGAATGTAAGGGAATGTAGGCAGGGCAGATCCATCTCTTATGGAATTCTGCCGAAAGTTCCTGTCATTACGAGGGAGCAGTAAACACAATTCCTGAGGAATTCCTACGGAAGTGGGTGGAAGTCCAGTACTTCTTGTCCCATTGTGTTTCTGAATATTGAGAACCACACCTTCTCCTGAGTGCAGTGCTTTCCTTGGCTGACCAGAACAAGAAGACCATCCTAACACTGTACCTCATATAACCCTGCCTCCATCTTTCTGGATTTCATGGCAATAGCCAAAACAGACAGAGTCATGATTTCTCTGATTTCTTTCATTTCCCCCTTAATACCCGCTCATTTACTAGCTCCTCCACCTTTACCTCTAATGCTGTCTTCTCAGTACTCAGCCCTGCCCCAAATCTATTCTATCTTGGACAATTTTATTGGCTAAGAATTCTTTCCCTAAGGGGCTTTATATCATCAACTATTCAGTTTGATTTGGTGTGACAATGTTCAGGCAAATGTAAGAGTCAATGTTTTGTCATTTGTGAATATATAGAAACCAAGAGGTCATTTACCATCCATATGTTACAGTTTCTATTTTCACACCACACTGAAGGAAAGAGAAACCAGATGTAGATTTTTAAAATCACTAGCAAAAGGAAGATGTTTTAAATAATTAAAATATTTGGAGAAAACTCTTTGGAATCTCAGTAAATGGATGACTACTGGGAATCTGCTTCTTTGGTCCAGTCTTTCTGATATCTGGACCCATTTAGTTTATTAGTTCTTTGGATTGCAAAGCCCATATTTCTGGAGTGACTTTTAATGGCTTTTCTCTCTTGTTGCTTCCTTGGGATTAGACCTATTTAGAATGTATGACTGTTGTAGGTACAGCACATAATTAACTTTAATATAGATGCAACTTTAATAAATACTTGTATTTGATGAAATGCACACACACAAAATTCCCAATCAGAGCCTTAAGAATTTGATTCCCTATCATCAAATGTCATTAAGAGCATAAAATAGCTGGCTATGTAACTTCTTTCTGGAAGATTTCCAAGTGGTTGGAATAAACACAAATTATACCATTAAAAGTTGCAATGTGTATTGGTTTGGGAACCTGAGGACTAAAAGAACTAACATATTTAAAAAAAAGCTATACAACACACCAGAACCACTAAATCCACATTAACAATAACAAGAATAACATATAAGGTTATATGATCATCAAAATGAATTCTATTATGCATAGTGAAGTACCTGGTTAAAGCTGTTAAAAATAATATATGACAATTGGAGTCTGGTTTCAGTTCAATATATCAAACCTGGCAATTAATCGATATAAAATATGCATTATTTATTTTCCAAGTGTGGTACAAACCAAACTACAAGATTTTTCTGATAAACGGTAAAAAATATAGTCAGCACTTGGATCTGCTGAAGGGGGCTTATCACGTTGTCTTCACACTGGCCCCATTTAACTCGACCTTAACTTGAAAAGTAATATAGCTATATTTAATATCAGCACAATCATGGCTTCCTCCAGGTATTTCTTGTAAATATTATTACTCACCTGCTGGTGCAATTTCTGTATTTTTTTCCTGCCTTCTTCTCTCTGTCTCTTTGTCTCTGTCTCTGTCTCTCTCTATCTCTCTTCCTTTGTCTCTTGCTCTCTCCTTTTCCCTGTCTTCTAAACTTTCCCGATGGAAAGGTTTTAATTTTAAGCCAGTTTGAAATCATCAATGTTTCATATTGAGTAATGATATTAGCTCATTACAACAGAAATATGAAAGTGTGTGGTCCATTAATGTTAGAGTTCTCTATTTTTCCTCCTACATCTTTTCTTCTTTCTTTCTTTTCTGTTTTACTTTCAAGAAGTCACAGAAGTACTTTCTAGCCTTTAGCCTTTAACTTATTTTAATCAAAGCTTATCTTTGTGCCCAATGTATAAAAAGGTGAAATGTCGCTTCAAAATTCTATTTTACAATATAGACAGAGAAGTTGGGCCCAAGGGGACATGGGACTTCACTTAAATACTATACACATTTTGTATTACACAGGGGTAGGGGCAAGACAGCAAAAAATAAAAGTAAAAATTGCATTTAGTCTGTCTTTACAAAAGAAATCTCTTCTCCAAGGAAAAGGTCTTTTCAGCATCTGCTCTCAGAAGCTTGCTGAGAAATTACTTCAGCCATTGCTTTGAAAGGATCTCTTTTTCAGACAACATCCACTGGTCGCCAAAAGTCACGTTGAATTTTCCTCTTTTCAGTTGAGCAACGAATAAGCACTGGATGTGTTTTCTACGGATGAGCTGGTCGTTTCTGGGCTAGAAACATTGTAGGTTCCTGAAAAACAGAGCGGCTGTTTCAAGACGGGCATTCTCCTACCGCTATGGGCTGCATCTCTCCTGAACTCCGAAAGGGGGCACTCTACCTCAGGGGTCAGGTAAGCTTGGCCATGCCTGGAACAAACCCACGCCCGCTGGAAGTGCGGAGAATGCACCAGGCTCTTTCCACAAGCATGCGTGGCAGCCGACAAGCACTAGCTACTTCATGTCATCCCAGCAGCCAGATTTCTACAAAGGACAGAGAAATTTCCAACCTGCCACAGGCCACCACGTGCACGGGCCTTGTCCACATGCTCCCACATGCATGGCCCTGAGGCCCTTCCCCACATAACACCTCGAGGTGGGGTGATGTGGGGAAGCTTTTGAGGAATGTGGAAAGGGTGGGGGTGAGAGTTTAGAGGGCTGAAGTCTGAGCCGGAAGGTGAGGTGGAAAGAGGGGAATAGGAAAAAAAAGGACAAGATGACAGGGGAAGATCAGAAAAAGATAGAAGGATCAGAAATGAAGCACCAGTCTGGAGATGCCAACTAGAGCACAGAAAAGAAGGCAGCCCAGAGGAGGTCTGAGTGAGCCTGCGGGCTTGTGTCAGCGCAGGAGAGTGGGGCCAGTGTATTGGGCAGGAGAAAGGACACAGTGGCCACCCTACCATCAAATTGGCGAACTCTCACTGCTAACAGGGTTTCCATCATTGCCTGAGGGGTTCATTGGGGCTGCTGACAACATAAACCAAAGTTACAATGATTATGGACCCCTTCAACAGGATAGGGCGCCTACAAGTGACCCCTGAATGGCTACTGCTGGCCCATGAGGGATAGGAACCACGGATGTTGGTACTTTGGAAACAGAGCTCCAATCCAACTCTTATTTATTTTTTCAATTCAACTTTTATGAGTGTGATTCAGTAACAAGGAACACATTTTACTTATAGTTGCATATTTTGATTTCTTAGATTCATTTCACTGTTTTCATCATTTTTACTTTAGTGCAAATTTTTAAGATGTTCTTGTGTCAGTTCTAGCCAATGCGACAATGCTAATACACCCACAAAGACATGCTCATGTCACAGCAGAGCCAAATTAATAGCTTTTCAAAAGTGAAGGTGGTTTCATGAACAAAGATCAAGTGGAAGAAAGTAATACAAGGCCTCTGGACTTTTAACAATGAATAGCTATTCCCCAAACTTGCTTTTATATGAAAATCCGTGGCCTAGGATATTGACACATTTCTAGGTCACACATTTCAAAATGTTCTTGGTTGCAAGAAGCTGAAGTGATTATTTTATTAGAGGGAGTGGTGTCATGGACAGGGATTTTAGTTGCCAGAATAGCTGAGGCCATTGTTCTACAACATTGGAATCTTAAATTTTACATCTTCAAGGTAGAAACTTTAACTGTGCATGTTGCTAATAAAAGGGCTAACTTGGGCCACCCCTTATATATGCAGTTTGATGATAAATGCCACTGTGGAAAACAAGCAAAGTAAAATTTTAAAAAGCAAGGAAAAAAGAAAAAAAAAACACAGGAAAAGATATCCACAGCATGAGATCTTATAGTTGAATTTTCCTCTTTTTTCTTTTTTCTTACAGTTGAATTTTCTAAGTGTATGTTTATACTTTGCTGTGCATTAACTCAGAAACTTGAATGACCTGTTTCCATTGATATGAATAGGAAAACACTTTGTGTTTGACAAGGTCAACAACTTACAACACCTATTTTTTACGGTTGCTGTAGTTTTGACAGACAGCTCTTCAAAGACTTGTCTAGATTCTCAATTGCTCTTCCTACTGTGATTAGTTGTCCACTATAGCATTTGCTCCCTCTAAAAGCCTATTGGTCATTTGGAAAAATATAAGTTCCTATAGTTAATCTCCTTCCCAAAGGAGACCATTGCAAGTCAATGACATCAGTGGGAAAGTGGACCAGAATTCACTGTGTCAACCCAGAGGCATTTAGACGTCACTACATACCTGTTTTACCAAATAAATTGTTGAATCTTCTTGATATTGGAGAACTCATAGAAAATACAGGTGTAGAGGAACCTACAGATGTTGACTAAAAAAGAGAAAAAAGAGACAGTTATCAGATGTATTTAAAAAAAGAGAGAGATAATTATCAAATGCATTAGACCAAGGCCCTATTTTGAACTCTGGGAGGATGTGTTTTCTTCCCTCTAGAGGCCATTGTCTTCTTTCAGACCCCTCCAGGTGAGACTCCTAAAGGGTGCATCTTCCTACTTCCAACAAACCAATTAAGAGAGTCAACTTGAACCAGGAGAATCTCATCATCAGTCTTAGGAAAATTAATTTCAAACACAAGTTCTACTATTTGAGAGGGCTACAGTAAGTTTTGACACATGGAAATAAACCCATTTGAGGGCTCTAGTCACTTTGTGACAGATTTCTATATCACAGAAAATTCTATTCATCATGATTCTTCAACTTGTGGGTTCTCTTGCCTTGAGTTTCTCCAGAAGACTATTTCTCATTAAAAATTTACTTTATCCTCCAGTTGATAGTATCTGTGTTGTTTGAATCGCCATTTGAGATGTGGGGACAGATTAATAATAGCACCCTGACTATTTAATAGGCAGAAAGAGGGGGGAAGAAAATGAAATAGGATAAACTATGCTAGAAATAGTTGTGGGAAGATGAACATTTAAAAGTTTCTGCATGGGAAAGACTTACCTTTGAGTGTTGTGAAGACCATCTTGATCGAGAAAATTTATTCAGCAAGGCTTCCTGTACCTGCAACATTTAAAAGAAGCCGTGGTAAATGGTATTGATATATGATGGTAAATGGAAATTCAACTTATGCTGGCAGTAATTTAATATATAGAGGTGACAAATTAAATAAGAATTATATGGTGTTTTAATGTCATATCTGTTAAAATATCATAAGTAAGCATACAACTAAATAAGGAAAGTCTGCAATCCTCTAAGTTTTTTTCCAGTAAAATTATGAATGCTTCTAACATTAACTGAAAGCAATAATAGCGCATATTCACTTTTCCAACTATATGTAATTATATGATAAACCAAAAAATCATTTAAACAATTAAAATACTCAAGAAAGAAGGCAGGAAGGAAGGAAGGATCATAAGTTCAACAGGTCATAGCATTTTAGATTTTTCTAAGTATATGAAACTGTCAGTGTTCTTACCTTCTGATCCCAGAGGCATCCAAAGAGTAAAATGAATAATCCCTAAGAAAATAATTGAGGAAACTGCAGTTTAATCATAGTTTTTCACTCATTAAAATGAAAAGTATTATTCATCTGGCATTTAATTTGCATTTGGGGGCTAAATCCAGAAGAAAAAAGTACTGAAAGCAATGTAGTTGGACCCCACTAAGGGACCTGAAATCTTATAAAACTATAAGGATATTTTTTATTTCCTTCCTGTAAGGACAGGTTATTTTATTAAATACTTTTTTTATGTTCTCAAAGCAGGGCTGGAGCGATAGCATAGAGGGTAGGGTGTTTGCCTTAAAGGCAGCCGACCTGGCATATTCGATATGCCAAAACAGTACAACAAGTCTCACATTAGAGACGTTACTGGTGCGCACTCAAGCAAATCGTGAACAATGGGAGGACAGTGCTGCAGTACATGTTTTCATAACTCCCACGAAGCTGTGATGAAGACCTCAGGTACAGAATGGAACCATCTCTCCACTGTATCAAGACATTTTATGTCATTTGTCACTAGGCATAAACTTTCTATTTTAAAGCCATGGACCAAGAGAAGAAATTAAGATTTGCATGATTTTGGCAGGAACGTCCAGGGGATGTTGTTTCGACTTTACCTCGGGGCCCCCTGACTTGTTGACTCATGAGGACCTGTGCTTACCAGCCCTCTATTAGATAGGTCAGAATGACATGTTTACTTCCTGTCTCTCTATGAAAGTGCTTCTAGCTATTTGGCTTATTTTATCTGCTACAGTAAAGATGGTATCCTTTTCATTTTAGTAAGATGGAGCATGTCTATCTTATGGAGATCATTTTTTTCTTTCATTCTCTTGCAAATTTTCCAGAAAACATACCATGTACATAACTTTCATTGCATTCATCAAATGGCTCTTGAGCACTTACTCTGAGACAAGGTTTTTAGGATCTAGGGGTGGATATAGAAAACATATGCCATCCATGAGCTCGAGTTCACAAAAACAGAGCTCACTAAATACTCTGTGGAAGTTAACTAGAGTAATTAGCTGGTTTAATAATGATCTTTCCAGTTTGGAGATAAGAGAATGTATAAAGAGAATACCGGATAATTAGCAAAATCCAGTGTAGAGAAGGAACTTTCCCCCCACTTTTATAATCAGGGCGTTTAGAATAGAGTCACATATGCAACAAAATTATATTGCAGGTGATAAAAGTCATAAGGTTCCATTGGAACAGAGGAAAATACCCTCTCTATCTCAATGAGTTCTCATAATTACCACTCGTTAGGGTCAAGACCTCTTCTGGACTAAATCCCTTCCCATTCCTACCTCTGTTTGTGTTTCTATCATTAAGCTGTCCCAGCAGCCTAGATACTTCCCGAGAGTCTCTTACTGCAGAACTTACCTGGAAGGCATTCAGGAGGGTGAACACAATATGGAACACAGCATTGCTTCCTTGGATCACAGTGGCCAGACCAAAGCCCCATGTGAGCCCCAAGAGGGGCGTGAGGACCCCAATGCTCTTGCTAATCTGAAAGAGGCTGCTCTTCTCCTGCTTGCTTGGCTTGTCCCCAACAGAAGGTCTCAGAATCTTGGTGATGACCACTATTGTGACAGTGACATTTACCACCACGATGATCAGAGCCGGGATGACAAAGGCCAGCAGGGCCTTGGTATCCTCCCAGTTAAGCCAACAGGCATTCTTTCTCATGTAGACTTCCTGTGGCTGGGTGGCTCCCACGGTGATGACTGAGATGATGAGAGGGCAGCCATACCCAAGAGAAAATGCAAGTGCCTTCTGAATTGACTTGCTGGCATCATGCAAGATGAAAACCAGGCGATAAAAGAGCATGAGACCCAGGGTCAGCATCCAGAAAAAGACGCTGAGGTAGAAAAAGTGGATAAAGAATGTGGCGGCTACACAGGCTGTCTCATTGAGTGGATAGTGATGGTCATGAATGGCAGCGGCCACGATGAACCAGATGTCAGCCACCAAAAGAGAGGCAGCAATATTCACTATGCAGATGTGACGCATATAGGAAGTCCGGTTCTTGGTCACTGACTTCCAGACCACAGCTTCTACCACTAGACAGGCTGCTAAACTCACGATGGAAAAGCACAAGCCAATGTAGGAAATAATATCCAGCAATACTTTCAGGAGGGAACCAGGATCTGGGGAATCAGGGGACATGAGGATGGAGAATGATGTGAGGTGGTCACAGCTGCAGGAGATGCTGTCCGTATCAATATTTTTAACATAGCAACCAGTGGTGTCCCATCCCCCAGTTTGGTTGGCAAGATTGAAGTTCCAGAAGACACAGCTTGGAATTCCAACAGATGGATGGTTGTTCTTAAAAGTCATAGAGATCCTGAATGAGTTGGTTATATTGTGGCTAACGGTGGTTGTCATCACTAGGCTATTTGCAGAATTCTCCCTCTGACTGTCCTGGCCAAGGATGGCTTTGAGAGTTGGGAAAGCCACTGTGACAATAGAAGAATCTGGTTCCAAGTTTTTCAGTTGACACTCGTCAATGGCCACGTTGCCCCAGAGATTAGATTTTGAGAAAACAAATCTCTGGGTGTAGGGTTTGGGGTCAGATTTGACTATGATACCCCTCATCTGCACATTAGGTTGAGAGATGAGCAAATCATTTCCATCTTCTGGTCGTAAGGCTCGGGAAAATCTTTCCACTGAGTGCAGTAGCTGTGAGCTCTGATGGGCCTGTTTTTGCTGTAGCTCCTTCCAGGTATTTAAAATGGGCTTGCCAAGGATGACATTGACCGTGGAGAGAATACGCTGTAATGGATATGACATGAGATCAAATCAAATTATTTTTATCAAAAAAAAAAAGAATGAAAAAAAATCTCCCTGGAAACTGCTTGAGTGAGTATAGTTAACAGGTAAAGAGGAAAGAAAAAAGAGGGAGCAGCAGCTCTAAGAATCTGTGACCTGCCTTCTAAAGTCAGAAAGTTAGCAGAGGATAAGTCTTTAAGATTGTGAGACTTCACATGCTAGGGGAAAAGGGAGCTCAGATAGAGAAGGGAGCACCAAATAAAGGGTGTTGGGAGGATCCTCCCAGGATGAGAGATGCATGCTGAAAGTAGACTATGGATCAAACATGATTGCAACTCAATTCCTCTTTTGCAAACCACAGCACCCAAAAGGAGAGAGAGAACAAAAGGGAATGCCCTGCCACAGGGGTGTGGTAGGATGGGAGGGTGGGGAGTGGGTGGGAGGGATGCTGGGAGCATTGGAGGTGGGGAATGGGCACTGGTGGAGGGATGGGTACTCAATCATTGTATAACTGAAACCCAAGCACAAAAATTTGTAAGTCTACAACTGTACCTCATGGTGTTTCACTAGTAAAAATTTTTTTAAAAAAAGAAAATATGGTACCAAAACTGAAAACTTTTATTCCTAATTTTCCTAGAAAGCAGATATGTATATATGCTATTTTAATCACTGAAATAAGCAAACCATTAAGGGTTTTTTCTCAATTTAATTCTGGAAACAAAGATCTCAAATTAATACTGGTAATGATTATTTAGGGTACCACTTAATAATTTTAAAATAATTTATGATAATTTATGCTAATTAACAATAATTTAGGGGCCGGAGTGATAGTATAGAGGGTATAGCATTTGCCTTGCATGTGGCCAACCTGGGTTCAATTCTTCCACCCCTCTTGGAGAGCTCAGCAAGCTACTGAGAATATTCCACCCACAAGGCAAAGCCTGGAAAGCTACCTGTGGTGTATTCGATATGCCAAAAACAGTAACAACAAGTCTCACAATGAAGACATTACTGGCTCCCGCTTGAGCAAATCGATGAACAATGGGAGGACAGCACTACAGTTCTACAGTGCTTAATAATTTAGGGTACCACTTCCTGGTCCCCTAAAAAATGGCCGTACAGATTGTGTAACTCTAATGTCATAATTTTGCTTGGAGAATATAGATAAAAATTTACACTGGGGAAAGCTATGATTTTTGACTGTAGGCCTTGAGAGGTTAAAAGCTGAGATCCCAAATTCCTGTAAGATTTAAACTTACCATCATCATTTCTGAGTTCACTTCAGTTGGAATTGTTGAGAGCAAATCAAGAATGTTAACGATGGCTCCCAAACTCCCTGGAGATGAGGTGACCTCATGCTCATTGTTGGCAGTGCTAATTGAAAGTTCTTTTAGATATATAGGGAGCTTTTCATCCTGAGAGGGACTCTTGATCAAAGCCTATCAAAACAAAAGCCAAAATAGATAAGCAAACAAACTGTCCCAACAGCCCACTGACGAAAACAAACTAAGCTCTTTCACAAATCTGTATTTTATATTTACCCTCATCCCTCAAGTATATCCTATAAGAGTATTTATTATTTTAACTATTACTATGGTCTCCTCAAAGTGAGTAAGAGATTAGACATAAAAAGGGAGTTGTAAAGCATGTCAATCTTATGACTTGCTGTCTATATAAATACACTGGTCTTCACAGTTAGTGGAAATATCTTACTTGTACATTGCCGGGTATGACCCAAAAATCAAAAAAGAAAAGAAAAGCTGATTTTATTTGTTTATTTCTGACATTGCCCAGAAATGCTTAAATACTTGCCCCAATATAAATATGGGGACCATGAGATAAGTGCTGTGCTCCAAGGCCTATTTCTCAGTACTTTGTTTTTATTATCTCCGATGGAGGAATCTTTTTTTCAAGGGTAAAACAGTACAATTATTTAAAAAATAAGCATTTCAGTAAAAAATTGACCTTTCATTTTCACAAGTCTGAGACGCCTTTGATCCTAAGAGGTTTCCTACAGTACTGAACAAGCAATGAACCTACGTCTCTCATTTACAGTAGAGCTTGCTGCCATGTCTTAGAAGAATATTGTTTTATTTCCATCAAAAGAAGTAAACTTTGCCTGGCACTTAATTTGTACATAGGCAGAGACTTTTGACATTTCATAAGTTATAATAAACATGCAAGAAACACTTGAAGAAAGTTATAGCAAATAGTGACAGGTTCAGATAACCAGATCCTGATCTGATGATCTTATCATTCTTAGAAGAAAACCTGAAGAAAAGAATGATACTGATTTGTTCTTATCTATTTATCTTCTGTTATGTGTTGTCTTACACCAAATTCAATGGAATACTTACTATGTGCAAAGCATATTGTTTGTCAGAGTAAAGAAGATAGAAAAAACCTTGGTTTCTAATTTGACAGTGAATGTAACCCTGGTAGTTATACATATATGACTTTTATTTTTGCTAGTAAAAATTAGCTCTGACATAAAAGCTTTATCAAGGACTGGAGAGATCATATAGCAGGTAGGACTCTTGTCTTGCATGTGGCGACCCATGTTCAATACCCAACATCCCATATGGTATCCCAAGCACCACCAGAAGTAATTCGTGAGTTCAAAGCCAGGTGTTATCCCTGAGCATTATTGGTTATGACCAAAAACTGAAAAAATAAAAACCCTTCATCTTTAGTGAATAATGCATCAGGGATTTATGTTACCCTAATAGAGAGAAAAAATTGTAACTTGGATTCAATATTATTCCCTGACTTTAATTCTTTATACCAAGATATATTTTCAGCGGAAATAGAGCTTTCTAGTGTATTCTAGTCCCATTTGGTTGATCTATTTCGACATAAACATAATGAAATCCAACTATGTGTTAAACTATATGACTTGGACTATTGAGGCATTATGATACTCCTGGCTCTGCACTCAGGAATTACTCCTGGCTATGTTTGGGGGACTATATGGGATGCTGGGAATCATACCTGAGTCGGCGATGTGCAAGGCAAATGCCCTACCCGCCCTGCTATCGCTCCAACCCCTAAAAGCAGATTTAATAGAAACGCAAACCCGTTTCCCTAAGTGATGGGAATCAAGATGAATCAGACAAATCTCCCCACTGAGAGCCCAGAGTAAATGGGTAAAGGAGCACCTTGGCCTGTCGGAGAAGACTGTTGATTGGAGGCGTGACACAGTCATTCCTCTTCACCTTCCACTGGGAACCTACACATTTGTAAGTCATGATGCCACCAATGGGACCACCAGGACCTCTGGAAACACTTGAGAACTGGCAATGCTTCTGGATGACTTTCCCAGGCTCCCCAACACCTATTATGGGATCTTGGCATGCGATTTTCTCCTCTGTATTGGAAACATGGAAATCAAAGAAACAATTGAAAGGAGAGAAGAAAGGAAAATAGATAAGGTAGAAAAAGCCTAGGAAAAACTTGATGTTTAAATTCTTTATTTTTACTTTGATAGTTATCTCATTTATTTATTTTGCTCATCTTCCAAGCCCCTTACTGTTTTTCATAAAAATATGACTTTAATTTATCTCCAATCCCTGAGAATATTCTCTCTGATGTCTGTCAAATCAGAGTTAAAAACAGAAAAACAAAAACTCAATGTGTGTTCCAGATAAGAGATACTCAGTTTACCAAAAGTCTGAGAAAAGCAATGCCTAAATCCAAAAAGACTCTGCTGACACATTAGAATCATTGAGGAGGAAGCTGAAAAATGCTCACATCCAGGTTCACTCCAGTCTTAAGTAAGGAGGAATTTCTTGACTAGGATTTAATTATTAGAGTTTTCTACACTTCCCCAGTGATTTTAGAATGTAGTCAAGACTGAGAATCAGTGCTTTAATCCAAAGATATAATTTTTGTTAACAATTCCAGGAATCCATGATCCGACACTTCCAGTCAGTATTTGTAAACATTCATCTCCTCTGATTTCCCTTAATTGTGATTATTTCACCACCACTCAAGACCAGATTTGAATCGGAAGATAATTGTTTCAGAACTTCTAATCCCCAAGGGTACTTCCAGTGATATACAGAACTCTTTCACCATTCATTGAGATCTTAGCCATTGCATAAAATATTGAGAGAGAAAAGCAACAAGTGGATAAAACATGTTCATACCTGAGGTAAGCTGGTATGATAATAGGGTTGGTGAGTGGTTAACAAAGAGGTAACCTTGGGTGTTCATAGAGAAATAGGTCTGATGAAAGGAACCACTACTCAGAGCAACATGGGACTCCACATTGCTTCCTATCTAGTCTCCAGGATTTAGTTGAAAGCCCACTATTTGTTGAAGGACAACAAATAGTAACTCAGCCAAGGTTGGTAATAAAGTCATGAATCCTTTAGGTGCTAGTAATTCTGTGACTGGGAAGGTTTTGAGAAGGGAACTGTATCTGGTAGAAGCCCAAGGTCATCATTTATCCACATGGTCCTCGGCAGCTCCTGATGAGAGCTCATTGGCATGGACTCTTGCAGAAATGTCTCCCCAAATTAAGACATTTACCTTAAGAATATTGTGCAAGGGAAATGGGTTCAGTGATGACAGAGGTGGGAAAGAAAGCTATCTAGGTTTTAGATATGAGTTATTTTCATGTAATTCTGTCTGAGAGAAGCAATGTTAACAGGGCCACCTTTCTTTGGTGGAAACCTCATAGGGGCCCCAGTCTCTTGCAGAAACTATCCACTCTAACCTGACACTTGAAGAGCTCAGCCTCCTAGATTTAGATGTAATTTTACTTCATCTGATCATTTCCTTGGTCATTTCCTTCCAATCTAATACCAGGACAGTTCAACCTGGCACACTTTTCTGATTACCCACCATTTCTCTAAGTTCACCATTTACCACATTATACATGATGAGATTTTGTATTACGTCTTCTCTGTCTGCTAGGCAAGAAAAAGGCATTTTTTAAAATTCCCCATTCTTAGTTAGAAAGGTATTCAGCATATATCGATTGGCTTATAGATAATGGGTTGTGTGTATATGAATGAATAAATGAATCCTTACAACTATAGCACTATGAAGTAATTTAGAATGCTCTCACCAGAAGCCAGATGAAGCTTCATAGGGGGGCTTTGAACTGAATTATTAGCACCGTTGGTAAAGTGACAGAACACATCAACATCTTTGTGACACCAGGAGGCTGAGTTTGCTCTGAAGTTGTATTTGTAGCACACTTGCTTTCCAATGACTTCTTTTGCTAAGGTGGAATTAGAGAAAGAAGTTACCACATTAGTATCCAAAGTACACATTTCGTTAAAATGACTTGAGCATATATAGGTACTAATTTCCTAGCAGTGCTGCACTTTAAATGTGGTTTCTCTTTTTTGACTTCAAACTTGTAGAAGTGATGTTACCTTTATTTGAAAGCTCAAACTTGCCCTCCACCATTTATGATGTCATATCTGTGCCCAAACTATTTTAGACAATCAGACATGCCCTCTTTCTGTCTCAATCCCACAACTTCCTAGGTGTCTAGCCTCTTCCACTCATACCACGTGTATTACAATCACCTGTTAATGGGTCTGTCTTCTCTAGTGTATGGGAGATAAATATCCTGATGCTATTTATTCTTGAATTTCTTAATGATGAGCTCAGAATCTGGCCCATAGAACCCCTCAATTTTGAAATGTTTGATTGAATTGCTTCAATTAAATTGCTTCCCTATGCAACCTTCACAGAATTCTCTAGTCTTTGAACTCTGATTTACGATGTTATTGATAATTGAGTTTTTGGTATGTAATATTTCGACGCCAATCCCACCACCAGCATCAACTTCCATCAAATCTCTCTAATCTTTATTGAGTCCCTGCTTTTATGAACTTCCAGTGTTCTTTTGATATATGGTACTCATTTAGATATTTAATATTAGTCTGATGCACCCTCTTTTACTCTACAAACCCTTCTGATACTAACACATATGCCTCAGATCTGAAATCTCTTTTTTGTTGCTCCTGTGTGTTCACCACTGAAAAAATGTCTTTAAAAGAGATAAGTGAGTTTGAAATCCCTTATGAAAGTGTTTGTGTTTTGAGATTTGGTGCCATGAGCTCATAATCTATAAGAACTCTTAGCATAGAGTGAAATGAACCAGATGGAAGGGGACAGATGTAGAATGACTGCATTCATTTGTTGTATGTAAAAATATACATAGTAGAAGAAGAATATTTATGGCCAGGGAAAACAGGGGTTAGGAAGACTAGTTAAAGGTTGGAACTAGCCATAATTTTGTGTGGGGCTGAGGGCAGTTAAGATAGAGAAGGGACCAATATGACAATAATAGCTGCGGATGATCATTCTGGACAAGATCTGAAGGTTAAAATTAGGTTAAGGGATATTCTGGATAACCTTTCAGTATCAATATTGCAAACCACAGTCCCCAAAAGGAGACATAAAATAAAAGTGCCTTCAATAGAGGCAGGGAGGGGGTAGGGGGTGGGGAGTGATGGGAGGGAACCTGTGGTTATTGGTGCAGGGAAATGTACACTGGTGGAGGGATGGGCATTGGAATATTGTATGACTGAAATCCAATCATGAACAGCTTTGTAAAAAAATTAATTAATTAGAAAAAGAAAAATATACAAAGTAACACTGGAAAAGGAAGATAAAATAAATATCTATATCTATATATATATATGTGACCAATAAATACCTGAAAAATTGTTCTAACAACAAAAAAGAATTCTTAGCATCTGGATTTGAGGAGACATTGAATCCAGAAAAAGCATTTGAATTTGGTCCTGCCAGTTGTCATTAGAAGCTATCAACCTGAGTGCCTGAGAACAGATTACTGGTTAAAGAAACTTAGGTACATCTACACAATGGAATGCTATGCAGATGTTAGGAGAGATGAAGTCATGAAATTTGCTTATAAGTGGATGAACATGGAGAGTAACATGCTAAGTGAAATGAGTCAGAAAGAGAGGGACAGACATAAAAGGACTGCATTCATTCGTGGTATATAAAATAACATAATATGAGACTAACACCCAAGGATACAAGGGCACAAGGGTCAGGAATATTGCCCCATACTTGGAAGCCTGTCTCATGAGCTGGGGAAGAAGGCAGATAGAATAGAGAAGGGATCACTAAGACAATGATGATCGGAGGAATCGTTCGAATGGGGGATGTGTGCTGAAAGATAAAGGGCCAAACGTGATAAACTCCCAGTATCTGTATTGCAAACCATAATGACCAAAAGTAGAGAGAAAGTATGGGGGAAACTGTCTGCCGTGGAGGCAGGGGGAGGGTTGGAAAGAGGGAATACTGGAGATATTGGTGGTGGGGAATGTGCACTGGTGGAGGGATGGGTGTTTGATCATTGTATGATTGAAACTCAAACATGAAAGCTTTGTAACTATATCTCATAGTGATTCAATAAAAAAGAGAAGATATCAATAAGTCACTTGAAGTTGACTATTACTCAGTCTGGCATTTCAAAACCACTTAAGTAGTTTGAATGCAAATGGTGAGAGTTACATTTTTTAGGGGATATTTTGTCTATCCATTGATGAGGACATGTAAATCTTATATTTTGGTGTATTACTGAGCCTACTATTCTTTGAGGGTGCTGATGAGTACCAGTCAAAAGTGAAGTATTGTTTTTTAGAACGTTATAACTCAGTGCCCTATATTTCTGATTATGATAAATACCCTCAACTAAGACCCAAGATTTTCTCTTTGTCTTTGGCTCTTAGTTGTTTTTCTTACTTCATTGCATATTTAACTGCTCATTTGGAAGCATTTTTTTTTTGTAAAAAAGGAAAGGACTATCAAACTATCTAGTATCTAGTCTACTACATTGAGGATATAATTGAGGAAATAATTGAGGGCTGGAGCGATAGCACAGCGGGTAGGGCGTTTGCCTTACAAGCGGCCAACATGGCCGACCCGAGTTCGATTCCTCCGCCCCTCTCGGAGAGCCTGGCAAGCTACCAAGAGTATTCGATATGCCAAACACAGTAACAACAAAGTCTCCAATGGAGTCGTTACTGGGCCTGCTCGAGCAAATCGACGATCAACGGAAGGGCCTTTACCTTTACCTTGTTCATACTGTTTTCAACAGCTCTCACTAAAAATAATGGCCTACACCTTCTCATACTCAAGATTTGACCACAAACTAGTTCTCTACAGTAAGACACAAGGAAATATAGCCTCCTGAGGGTTCCCTCTGTTATATTCTGTCTCTGATGCAATCTCTGTGCTTCTTGACCCCTGTTTTAAGAGAAAATTTCAAGACGCCACACCGTTGCAATAATATGCCCATAACAATTTTGCAGTTGGCACCTTACCAGCAGGAAAGAATAAGGAATCCACTTGAAAAGTTACTTTGTAGTTTTCATCCTCCTCTATACAACACTTAAAATAATGGGAAGATTTGCATGGAATTGCAACTTCCAAAGGATCAATCATGATGTCCGATTCCAGAGGCAGCGGGTGAACGGTGACATCTTTGGTGGTGATACTATATGAATTCTTATATCGAAATATGCAGTGATAGGTTCCTGAGTGGAAGGAAACAATTAAGCATTGGAATGAAAGAAATGTTCCACACAAAAGGTATTTGCTGGAGAGCTTAGCATGTTGATGCTAGCACTGGAATTTGTGTTCATTAAGTCACAACTAAGTGTGAACCACCAATACTACACACTGGTATCAACATATTCAAAAAGAGGCTGGGTTTTCCCTAACAATCTTGAAAGAGCACATTCCACCTCTCTGGAAGAGAAAATACTTGATAGGGGAAACTCGATGGTCCTCTAGGCATTGAAGGAATTGAAGGATTGTGGGAAGCCAAGAGCCCTCTCATAGACCCTAGCTGTGGTTCCCATGTTAGGAACTGCTTGGAACAGACATTGGTGACAGTCTCCCAGGGCTTCCTGACCTCAGCGGATGCCTGATCTATACCCACATAACATCAGGCTGACAGTTATCTTATCTGGCCTTATCTATAGTAACCTCCAGGATGCATCTACTGCCCTAAGACCCTTTAATATGCAAATGTAAAGCTCAGGATGCACCTACTGCCATAAGACCCTTTGATGTACAAATGTTTACCTTGAATGTTAGGTAAAGCTCTTGTTAGGTTGCTGACCTTAACATGTATGGTTATATTGCTTCTGCTCCTGACTGGGCTGCCCCGGCCCTGACCCTATATAAACAGCCTGTAGCCCCCAATAAAGTTCTGTCCCTTTTTCTCTCTGTTTCTAAACTGCACTCTGTCTCTTGTGTCTTGTGTTCATTTGGTCAGTCCTTCCCTGCACCTATGGATCCTAGGGCCATCTCCGTGCACCGGAGAGTGGTTTTGCGGCACACCCCCCCCCCCCAAAGGATAAAGCAATAGTCAGCTAAATAATAACTTACTTTCAACTAAAATCAGGTGGTTTATGCAATGTTACACAGACTCTGCAGGTGGAATTCGGTTTCAAACTAAGTCCCCAGTAAGTTTTTTTTTTCATTCACGAGGAAATAAATGGGAATTCTGGTATATGTTAGGATGGCGAGTTGCTTAAAGAGAGTCCTCAGGCAAATAGAGCATGGTGGTGGATTATGTCCCTTACCCCCATTCTAAGTCACTAGGTTCTTCAGGATTCAGGGCACCAAGGCCCCTACCAAGGAATGCAGAGAGAGGCTACATGGGGGTGATGAATGTGAAAGACGAAAGATTCAATGTTCTTGGCAGAACTTTGTCTGCTGATCCTGGAATTGACTGAATCTCAACTGAAAAAGTCTAAAGAGGGGCCAGAGTGATAACACAGTGGGTAGGGCATTTGTCTTGCATGTGGCCAACCAGGGTTTGATCCCAAACACCACATATAATCCCCTAAACTCCAACAGGAGTCACCCCTGAGTGTAAAGTCAAGAGGAACCCCTGAGCCCAGTACCATTGTTATTCTGGTTCTGCATTCTCCAGATGTATAACCTCATGAAATTTAGTTAAATCCTTTGGGCCTCAGTTTTCTCAACTGTCAAATGGGGACCATTACAGCAATATCTACTAGAGTTGGCTTCAAAAGCTTTAAAAGACTCAAATACTGCAGAAGAATGACTCAGAAAGTATCAGCTGTTATTGCAACACTTCCATCAAATCCTCTTGCAAAGATTTGTGTTTCATTTTCTCCCAACAAAAACAAAGTATAGAATGGATTAGAAACAAAAATATTTCTTTCTTTGGAACAGACATATAAAAGTTTGGGCTGGACGGATAGCACAGCGGTAGGGCATTCGCCTTACAAGCGGCCAACATGGCCAACCCGAGTTCGATTCCTCCGCCCTTCTCGGAGAGCCCGGCAAGCTACCGAGAGTATTCCATATGCCAAACACAGTAACAACAAAGTCTCCAATGGAGATGTTACTGGGCCCGCTCGAGCAAATCGATGATCAACGGGAGGGCCTTTACCTATATTCTTTTTAAAAATACCACAGTGGGGAGAAAAACAGTCCCAAGAGTGGAAAGTCTTTTTAAGAACAATCCTTTTTTACTTTCATAGCGGAGAATCAGAAACCAATCCTACCTGCACAGGTGAATTTGTATTCAAAGCCAAAGTATCTCTCATATTTCCTACCACCAGTGGTTCCAGTTTCCCTCCTGCCCCCCTCCCTTCTCCCACCCTCCTCCCATCCCACCACTTGCCACTATGGCAGGCATTTTTCTTCTCTCTCTCTCTCTCTCTTTCTTTCTCTCTTTCTCACTGTGTGTGTGTGTGTGTGTGTGTGTGTGTGTGTGTGTGTGTGTAGGGCTTACTGCTGGGTCAGGGACCACTTCTGGCAAATACTGGATGACTTTATGGGGTGCTGGGGATCGAAATCAGATCCTCTGCTTGCAAGCCAAGTACCCTACCTGCTGTACTATTGCTCTGGCCCTTGTCTCAGCCTCTCTTCAGATTTCACATGTCAAAAGGAGAATTACAACATCTTCCTCCAAAAAGCTATTGCTTAAAATTTGATGACATAGTTAATGTCAAGTCACTGGCATGGACATGTCCCAGGGACAGACCCCTCATGGCTGGTGATGTTTTAGGGTCCCAGAATGCAGAATAGGACATCTAGTCTCTACTCACCATTCCATTCCCGAGTTGAAGTTTTGACGCTCAGGACTGACTCTGCTCCATCAATATAACTCCTTGAGGTATAAAACTTTTCAGATATTTTAATTCCAGCTGAAGTGTTCCAGTACACCTCATCATAGTTACTCACATCACTGATGCACTTTATAGAAAAGCTTTGTCCCTCAGAAACAGAAATTGGGTCCGAGGTTATTGTTAGATTGGCTGAAAGGGTACAAACAAAACAGACAAAAGAAAACCACAACAAGCACAATGTTTAGTCTTTCTGATGAAATCAGCACATGAGTGAAATTTAAGATAGAGACAGAAAGCATGGCCCCTCCTGGCTCTCCTATGTCAACATAGGGTTGGTACCTTGCTGCTCCTGGGCTTTACTTGTTTCTAGGCTGTTCCCGGTGGTGCTCTGCACTGAACTCATTTCCATCACATGCCTTAGGAACTCGTTCATTTTTTCCCCTTTGTGGCTGGAATTATCTCCTGATGATCAGTAGGGTAAAAGATTGCAAACTTAGGGGTGTTGATTTACAACCCAAGGTCCCCTCCAACCTCTTCCATGGTATCATGGGAGATTAAAGGGCTTGATTATTGTAAGAAAAATTCAAGACTTGTTTCATCTGCTTTCAAAAATCATACCACATTACATTTTTCCCTTCTCTCTTTCTATCTCTTCTCCAGTTGTAAGTCCATCACGGACTCTTTCCTTGGGGTCTTGCATCTCCAACAGTAAGGGCCCCATGCAATATGAAGTCACGCTACTAAGGAAAGGAACGATTTCTAGAACTAAATTAGAAGAGTTATAAGATTTGTTGCCCCAAATATTATACTTCGAGTTCTGTAGAAAACTGGGATGAATGGGCAGACATCCTAATTATAAATCTCCCTACACATACTCCTTTTTTGAGAATCTCCTCATAGGTTTATGTGAAATTATCCATCCCAATGTTAACCAGATTCTTACATATAAAAAGACTTTTCTGAATATCATACTATGTTTGTTTCTGGTTGAAACTTTCCATTCCTCTTTGAGAATGGGTTTTTCAGACCTGACATTTCAAACTGTTGTTCATTTCTGCTTTCTATAACCAAGCAACTTCTTGCCTTGAGCTTTCAATAATGGCCTATTTTTCAATTCAAGGTAAAACCATATTCTTAGTCAAAATAAATCAAGTTTTCCCAAAGTACCCCTTAGAAACTTGGATTTAAATGTTAAGTTTCAACTCTGAAGTGTCACAAGCTTGTTACAACATGTTTTCATATTGCCTTCTCTGGCAGCGGAAATCATGAAACCATATACTTGATTTTATTTCATCTTCAGGTGAGGCCTAAACTCTCAGATGAGTGGTTTTCAATGAAGACTAAACATGTATCTGAGATGTCAAAAGCCCATATCACTCAGAGGTACTCTTAGTATAAAAAATGGCAAATTGCTATAAAGGTCATGAGCTCTCAATGGCCAAAGTGTTTTCAAGTGAACCTAGTCAGGCTCTTTGAAAAAATGCTGTCAGGATAGTAGGAAGTGTTAACAAGAGGAGTAAGTAGAGTTTCTGTATCAGTTTTTTCTCCACTGTTCAGTAACTGTTAGGTACTCTGATGATTTACTAAATTTTTTTTAAAAAATTGTTTTAAATATTACAAGGAAAACAAGCTTGACGGACCTCTGAGCAAATGGTTGAGAAGTTATAATTCCTGATTTTCAATTTTGCATTATTTCTGTGCTATGAGAAGACATGATACTTTGAATAGACCTAATTAAGTCAATCAGTTATTATATTAAACAAATATTTTGCATGTACAAAGCCCTAGATTCATTCCTAAAAGTCACCCTAATTCCTCCCCCTCACCCCACATTTGCTCCAACTGCCAAATAGCCACAGAGTGTGAGATTATCAAAATATTCTGCATCATTTTATTCATTTCTAGAATACGTAACAAAGGAGAGGAGGGGATGACAGAGGGGAAAATGTGTCTGGAAATGAGTTGCTGAATTTTAAGAAGGAGAGAATGGGATTGTGAGAAATAAAAAGGGCAGTTCAATACTGGGGCAATACCCTAATATGATAAGGCCTAGTGGATTCTAGACCTTATCTCCATTGTAAATTCAGGAATAATATGTGTGTGTGAAATTCTACTTCCCAGCTGCTCCTTCTCCCACTTTTTACAGACTATCTGAATGAAAGTGGCAGAGAGGGAACTCCTGTTCATTTTGTGATTTTCTCCAACCATACACAGCCCTGCTTAGCTTCCCAGATACAGTCTGATCTTGAGATATATGGCTAAAAATCCCCATAGTAGTCCTTACCCACAGATATGAATGTCACTTCAATCTCTTTACTGCCTCTGGCTCCGTGGGCACTGATGAACTCACACGTATAAATGACCAGGGTTCCAGAAGACCCACTTGGGCACTGAGTTCCGTCAGCCATGAGGGTGTACCTGCTACAGCTAGAATCGGGATCTTTTTCAGCGATTCCTGCAATGACATAAAAGGTGCTTTTGCTGTCAGAGCGGCTCAGCTTTCTGGCTTAGTAGCAAAGAGGTCAAAGCAATGAAAAGTGAGCTATTGTGTTTTCTTTTATATTTCTTCTTTTAGTGCATACATTTATTAGGACTATACATTTGGAAGCCAGGTGGCCTGGTAGCAGATCCTGGATTCTGCTGCTGACTAGCAGATTGTTGTTGAGAAAGTCATAGGGTGTTCCATGCCTCAGTTTCTCCAGATGTAAATGAGGATAAACATTAATAGCTATAGTCCATGTATGGACAGATCAAAGGAGTTAATATCTATACATATATAGGACAGCTGGTGTCTTCTCCAGCAAATAATTTTGTTATGGTGATTGGAATGGGAAAAGAAGACAGAAACAAAGTGTTTGAATAGAGCTTCAACTGGAAGAAAAAAAAAAGATGCCAGTGCAGACTCTCAGTATTATCAAAAGTAAGAAGAAACAAGACCACAGCATGTTACTCATCTCATTTGAGACCATCTTCATAATTTATTTCCTATCCTTTGTTTCTATGATTTATGGAAGCTTCACCTTTATTTTCTCCCAGGTAATCAGCAGTTTCCCTTTCTATATGTTTCTTTTGGGGAAAGAGGGGATCCCCCAAAGCAGTAGCCAGGAGCACCAAAGACCATTCCCAGCAAAACTCTGTCAACAGGAAGGGCAGTTCAATACTGGGGCTATACTTTAATATGACAGTGCTTTAATACTGAGGATTCAGTACTCAGAGACACCCAGGGCTACAGCTGGCTGTGCTTGGGAGCTATGCAGTGCCAACACTGGGATTCACATTTGCTTTGCATGTGTCCCTGACCTCTGTGCTCCCCTATCTTTCTTTCCATTCCCAAAAATGCTTTTCCTCCAACAATTTATCCTTATTATCCATGACTCTGGAAAACCCTGCTAGGGAATTTTTCCTACTGTAATCCCTTTAACCAGTTGCCCTCATTCCTGGTCTACTGCCACCTATACTCTCACGGTATTCTTCAAACACTGTCCAAAAGTTAAAGAAAACCCAGAAACATTTTGTTCAGGTTTAACCTGAATGCATCCTGTTCAGCGCTGGCTGTATTATCAATAATAATAAAAAACATTTGGATTATTATATAAGCAGCCTTTTCCTCCAGACTCCAAAGTTCAGAACAGCAAATGGCAAGCGTACAAATATTTGCACTCTTATAAACCAATGGTACCTCAACAAATAGATACAATAATGTGCAAAAAGGGGGTGGGGGGAATCAGAAAACAAAACTAATTTCTAGAACACTGATTCATCCACCTTAACTAAATCACCTCCAAGATTTTCTCCATAAACGTTTCTATTCATCTCTTGCATTATTTGACAATCCAATTCCTCCAGGACCTTCTTTAACCCTTTATCTTTACTCTCTTCTGTATACTTAATCTTCCCTCAAGTTCTTCACATCAGTCATCCCAAATACTCAAGTCTTCCTTTCCTAAAAGAGTCTTCTACTTGAAAGTTGCTCTTGCTGTCTCAGTCTTTTCTTCTTCCTCTCATTCCTCAAAACTTCCACATTTACCACATTGCATTTTCACTGCCATTTTTCACAAAATCATTGCAAGTTGCCCTCTTTCCCCTACATTTCACCTCAAGCATTGCTTGAAATTCAAGATTGACTTTCTCTTTCTTACATCCCGTGGCTTCCTCTCAAATTGCATCCCTTTCTGCTGACCACAGACCACAGCCCTGAGATTTGACTCACTTGAATTTCGAGGTGTCTCCTGTTCTCCTCTCTCTTCAGCCCAGTCTCTCCCCATACAACTTCCTTTTGTTCTTTTCAGAAATGAAGCATTCCCCAGAATATGCCTTTCCTCAAGTATTCTGTATCTTTTTGTTGTTTGATTTGGGGGTACTGTACCAGGCAGTATTCAGGATTTACTCCTGGCTCTGCGCTCAGGAATCATTCCTGGTAGACGCAGGGGACCATATGGGGTGCCAGGGATGAAACCCTGTAGGCCACTTGCAAAGCAAACACCCTACCTGGTTGTATTATCACTCTAGCCCCTCACCAAGAATTCTGACATTGACCCTAAAGAATCTTGACTCCCTTGTTGAACTATCACTCCCACACCCATGGCTCCTATTCCATCCTAAATTCTGATGACTCTGTATTGATTAAAAAGAGAAACACTCTTATTAAAATAGCTGCCTTTCAGGACTAAATTCTCTTTTATTGTAAAGTATGGGTTGGAAGGCTGACTTCTAGGACAGAAGGCTTAGTTCAAGTTATTTCATTTTTAAAAATCCTTTTCTGCTTGTAATACAATTTCTACAGACAATACCTCAAGTAGAAATCACTATCTAAGATCAGGTCTGTCTGACATCAATTCGACAGACAAAGAGAAGGGGAAGGAGGATGAGGTGAAAAGGCAGAGCCCTTTGCCATTGTCAGGGAAATCCTGGGCTTAGAAGCTTCAACCATTACTTAGTTTTTCTTTTCTTTTCTTTTCTTTTCTTTTCTTTTCTTTTCTTTTTTTTCTTCTCTTTTCTTTTTAAAAATATTTTTGAGTACTTCCTTTCTGTCTTATCTCTTGTTCTGGAGTGTTTTAAAAATAAAATGCAACCATTTCTGCAAAGAGATATCATGTTAACTCCCCAAACCTTCGGACTGAATTATTTAGCTGGATGGCTTTTGATTGTCCTGGAAAAATGGGTGCTAAAATATGTGTGGAATTTGGAGAAAGACTGCTGCAGAGTTGGAGTGGGCAGGGGAACAGGAAGAAGAGCAGATGCCTAGAGGAGAAGGGAAGTTCATCAGAGAACCGGACTATGTTGGTTCCCCAGGCGGCCAGCTCCTGACAGGAAATCCATTGTTCTACAGGCTGTTCAGCCAAACTGGGCATTAGGAATGTCTGAAGTAGTGGTGGCCACAGAGAGGTCCCTGAGCATCTGCACAGCATACTTCCTGTATCCTTTGCCAAAGGGCGAGGATTTTCACCCTTCAGAGTTGAAAGCTCAGTCAGTACTTTGGGAACTTTGCAAGATCTAACTTCCATCTGGCAATTCCTTCAGAATGCCTATACCTCCATTTCCTTAGAAATCAGAGAAGTGACTGAATGTACTATGTGTCAACCTTTTCAACAGTCACAGCTGCCTTCCCCATTCTTCTAAGCACTCATTAGTCGAATACTAATGCTGCAGCTGAATACGTGCTGATGAGAGGCTGTGCATCCAAGATCTTTTTTTTTTAATACATTTAACGAAACTTTTCAAATAATTTAATCTAGACTGATAGCAGTGGTTTTGTAAAATAAAGCCTTGCCAAACTAATGTGTTTCATGGGTAAAGGAACATTTTTGCTTTAATAATTTTCAAATTTCAAGATGAGTATTTAGGGCTAATACCGAGAGTATCTCGCCCGCACGGCAGAGCATGGCAAGCTACACATGTCGTATTCAATATGCCAAACACAGTAACAACAAAGTCTAACAATGGAGACATTACTGGGCCCGCTCCAGAAAATCGATGCACAATGGGAGGACAGTGTTGACAGTGTTGGATGTGCCTTGGATTAGACTGCTTGCCTTACATTGTGAGGCCCTGGTTTGATCTCTGGCATGGCAAAAAATTAAAAGTAAAAATAAAATACAGATGAGCGTGCTGAAGAGACGGTACAGTAGGAAGGTTGCCTTGCATGTGACTGATGTGAGTTTGATGGCCAGCACCCCATAAGGTCCTCAGGAATGATCCTGAGTGCAGAGCCAGGAGTAAGCCCTGAGTACTGTTGGGGGTAGTCCTAAAGGTGAACACGTAACACTCATTTTTTAGGAGAAGGATTGCATCTCTTTACATAAATTTTCTAGGCAAAAGATTCTTACAGAAACTGGCTCCACATTGCCCTTGTGTGACTGATCCATTTCCATATTGCATAATACTAAAAGAGTTTAAATAGAAAGGTTTAATGGAGAGTAGAAATGAAAGGAAAAGAAACTACCCACAGGAGAGGAAGTCAGTAGGGAATTAAGTTAAGAGGCATTGATTTTGATTTTGTGCAACAAAATCTGGAGTGATTCCCATGTCTTCCTTTTTTCCCTATTGGGACAACCCTAGACAAGTCACTTATGATCCTAACTTCCTTTTTTGCAACTTGAAGACCAAAATGCTTCAAAATTGTAGTCAAGTTTAAATGTGCTCAAATATGATGGCTTTTTTGCAATATAAATAACTAATTTATTATCACCAAGCAGTGTTTGCCCCAAAATGAAGTTAGTTAAAACATTAAAAATCATTCATTGTTATCTATTTGCTACATTAATGTGTGTATAGATAGGAAAACATACAATAATTTCTACAATTTTGGTAAAAATATGATAAATACCATGTTTATGATTACAAAGAGATATTTAGAAACCAAAGGAAACAATTTTAGTTCAATATGGTACCATGTGTAACACTTTGAGATGACATTGTTCAAATGTATTAATTATGGTATGTATACATAGGTATTCTACATTCTTTTTTAAAAATTTTTATTAGTGAAACATCATGAAGTACAGTTGTAGACTTACAAGTTTTTGTGCTTGGGTTTCAGTTATACAATGATCGAGTACCCATCCCTCCACCAGTGCCCATTCTCCACCACGACTGATCCCAGTATCTCGCCCACCCCTCTCCATCCCCCCTATCCCATCCCGCCTTTGTGGCAGGACATTCCCTTTTGTTCTCTCTCTCCTTTTGGGTGCTGAGGTTTGCAAAAGAGGCATCGAATTGCAATATGATGGCATATTTTTAATGCTCCAGATAAATGGTTACATAACAGAGTATTGCTATTTTGTTTATAAATAATATTGTTATCTTCAGAACAAATTGGAAGGTGGGCAGTATCAGGATATAAAATCTAAACAGAAATGAACAGCATTAGAAACTGATGCTGAATGATTGAGAGACGAAACACACAGGTTTACACACAGAGTGACAACCAGACACAGAATTAGATAATATAGAAAAAGTAGAGCCATGAAGGCAAATAAATGAGAACAGATGGCAAGAGAAGAAATAGAACAATGAAAAGTTCCAAGTCAGACCCAAGAGCAACGCTGAGGGGCTCATTCTTAGCTATTTTTTGAAGATTGAAATTGAAAACGTTTTTCTGTGGGTCAGACCAAAGGCTTTCCCTTAGGTCTTTCTGCTTAGATATTATCAACAACCCAAGTATGATACTTGGGAGTTTTGGTTTAGAATGGCTAAGCTTATGCTGGCATAAACTCTTATACTTTTCCACAATGGAAATTCCAGGTAAAAATTGTCACCTGACAGTTCCACTACCACCTACTGCGTCCCCCACTTACTTGGCTAAGAGGCAAAAATTCATGTGCAAAAGAATGTCTAACTTTCTTACCTGGAATGCTTATTTCTCCTTCCTGATTCCATTCAATTCTACTCCAATTAACATTAATGTCACTGCAGCAGTTCAAAGACACAGGATTGTTGTCACATGTCACCATCATTTCCACATCATTTGCCAAAATTAGGATGGGTAGAACTTCTATTTTTTTCTTGGCCTCATATTCAAAAATATCCATGGTCAGTTTGCAAATGTAGTTACCTGCACAGAATACACAAAAGCCTTAATTATTTACTGCACTGATGTATTACCTTAGGAAAAAAAAACCTGTATTTTATAACAGAAATTAATTAAACATCATTTCCCAAAACACGTGGGATTTGGTTCTAACAAATATAAGGGGATATTCAGAAAATGGCAATAGAGATGCTTTTAATATCACCTGGTAAAGAGTAATCAGATAGCCTAAGGCAGCAGCAGAAATGTCAGCATCTTAGCTAAAGACACACGAGAATTGGAGGGGCAGAAAGGAAGGAATCAGAAAACTTTAGTGAATTCGTATATTGTGGATATCATGGGCATCTCATTTAACTTTGCAGCAAAATATCGATGTGAGAGAACCCTTGTGCCTGCAACTTAACTTCTCATTCCCTGTTGACATCTGTGTTATCATGGGCTTGCTGAATTCTACAATGCCAATTTTATTGCTGGCACTCAGTGAGGGATAAATACTTACACTTCTATTGTTTCCAGGGAGAAGATGGAGGATGCTGAGGCAGCTGAGAGAGAGAGGGATTATAATGACATATAAGAAAATTTGGTGGCGGGTGGATATGTTGAGTATCTTAATTATGGTGATGTTTTCTTTCTTCTTTTTTTTCTGCTTTTTTTTGGGTCACACCCAGCGATGCACAGGGGTTATTTCTGGTTCAGCACTGCTTGGGGGACCATATGGGATGCTGGGAATCAAAGCCAGGTTGGCCCCGTGCAAAACAAACCCCCTATCTTCTGTGCTACCACTCCAGCCCCAATACTGATGTTTTCACAGTTTACCTATATAAACATTTGTGAAAGCAAATGTTTTATTTTATTTTTAATTTTATGTGTTTATTTATTTATTTTTGCCATGTTAGGTTTCTTTTGGTAAGTGTTCATATGGGATATTGTTCTCTGTTTCTTTACTATTGTTTCATGCAAAATATATATAACATTTACTAGCTAAAACATTTTAATGAACATTTGTGGAATTCAAACATTTTAAATACTCATAGTTTACTAAATTTCATTTGGACCTCACCAAAGGTTTTTTTTTAATTAAAATGTTTGCTTTTGTCTTTTAGTTTAATTTTTTTATACACTGTTACAAAATTGTGCATGAATGGGTTTCAGTCATATAATGTTCCAATACCAATCCCATCACCAGTGTACATTTTCCACTGCCAATGTTTCCAATTTCCTCCACCTTTATGGCAGGCACTTTTCTTCTCTCTGTCTGTCTCTCCTTTTTGGCATATGTTTTGCAATACAGACACTATAGTGAAAGCTTTTGGAGGACTGAGGGTTAAGGCCACATCTGGTCATGCTCAGGGACTGAACTTAGGATGTACTGAAGATAAAATCTAGATTGCTTTTCTCTAAGACAAGTGCCTGACTTATCATACTCTTTCTCTATCCCCTTGTGTTTCAATTTATAAACCTTAGTTAATGTAATGTGTCTGCTTCCCAAGTCTACATTTATGACATGGGATTCATTTTTAATTTTGGAAATTGGAATCCAAGTAACGTCTCCATTGGAGACTTTGTTGTTACTGTGTCTGGCATATCGAATACTCTCGGTAGCTTGCCGGGCTCTCCGAGAGGGGTGGAGGAATCGAACTCGGGTCGGCCATGTTGGCTGCGTGCAAGGCAGACGCCCTACCCGCTGTGCTAAGTGACTTCTATCTCAGGAAAAAAATACCAGCTATGTACATAGCCTCTGTTTGACTTCTTCATGAGCACCGAATCCCCTTTCTGGAACTAGTTCTTGGGTGAAACCCACCTGCATCACCCCGAGTGATGTTGTAAATGGTGAGTTGGGACACTGAGGTCAAGTTATTGAGCACTGAGGTGTAAATGGAAAAGTGGCTGCTGTTCTGGATATCCATGCGACCCTCCACACGGTGCCAGGACACGTTAGACGATGGGACGTCATTTTCACACATCAGTGTCACTGAATCTCCTTCAAAGATGACTTCTGGTGTAACTGAGAACTTGGTTTCATCTGTAAACCCCAAGAGAAGATATTAGGAGTCAAATCAAATAACCACAAGAGATAGACACCCACCCCCAGAGTTCTCAGAACGTCTCACAGCATCTGTGGTGCCATCCAGAATGGGGCAATCAGGCCTCCCCAAGCCATTCTCGCCAATCTGTTGTCTGAACCCAAGAATTAAAGTCTGCCATATATAATACACTTGGAATCCAGTTTGGGTTTTTTTGCACACTTAATAGTACTCAATGATGTAGGTGGAGATCCCACGGCTGTTTTCAAAATTTCAAAAAGTTTGGTAGAAAGTTGCATATTTGCTTATGAAAAAAAAAACCACAGGCTAATTTATACATTGTTTCTTTGCTAACCGCTCAAATCACACAGTTGTCTCATACTGATGCCTGATAAGTCATTCTCACTGAAAGCTCTGGCTTGTGGTGGCATTGTTGGGAGGAGGCATTAGAGATGGTGAGGATTAAGGCCTGCTGAGGCTGCCTCTAACCTGACTCCACACTTTGATAACAATGATGCCTAGCTCTTTAATTCTCAGCTTTTCTTTCATGTGGCTACTGCCTTACTTATTACAAAATTTTATTTTGCTCTTGCATCTTGTTTATATTGTAGCACTTTCCTTACGAGCTTAAATCTATTTATCCATTCCAGTATTTCACTTTATAAATGTCCATATGTCTCTAAACACCAGCAGAGAAGGTAAAGAGACAAGGACAAAGCTGCAGGAGGATGGCCCAACTCCTGGGAAGTGGCACCTTTTCTCTTAGACATGTACCCAACAGTCTCTTTTGTTGTTTCTTCTTTCCCATGTTAGTCTTCATTGTCACCTTCAACTCAGAACTCTGGGCCTTGTCACCTAGTAGTCACCTAGTCCTTCTAGCCGTATGCCTAGAACATATACGGCTGTTCCTGCCTACAAAATCCTATCCAGCTTGTGCTCCTTGCTACCTTTCTCGGAATAGAACATTTACCACTTCCTAACACAACTGCACCCAACAAAGTGACCCCATTTTTAAGATTCCAGGCTTCCTTTCCTTTGGCTTTAGAATTAACAATGCAATTACCCCTAGTTAATAAGCAAACATTCAATAAGTAAACATTAATAAGCAAAGACCCCAGGTCCAACAGAGTTAGCATTATTCTTTTGGATGTTCTGGATCTGTTTATTAAAATAGGGTATGAGCCGAGATGACTTTGTGGTTCTTGATTAAAGTTTATGCCCCTCCAACCCTCACTCCCTCATGTATTGTGACATTAATCCGGTTGAGAAGTTCTGTACTGATCAACAGCAGGAGGCCATACAGAAACCATTGTACCAGGAGCTAGAGAAGGATGAAATCGCAATCTCATTTTTTGAAGTAGCAGTAAACATGATTGACGTATCTAACTAGACTCCAAGTAAAGGAAAAATGCAGCCATATTCCACTTACTACTAGTAACAGCTTGAAAGGAACCATCGTCCATTTTGTAGGTCTGATTCAGGTTCTGGATCACTTGCTCATTCGCTTTACGCAACAATTTTGTTGAGGGTGCTGTTGTCGTAACTTCATAGGCCACGACTACACTCCCAGGACTGGACAGAGAAGATCAGTTTAGTAAAAAGTTAACTGACCTGGAAGAGTCTAGATCTCAGTGACTTATTTGCATGGGAAGATAAAAGAACAGGCTTGGCCTGACTACATCTTATCATTCAGGGTCGAAATAAACCTGTTTTCAAGATCTAGTTGAAAGTCTACACCAAAGAAAATGCCATAGATGGTATAGTCATCTATTTACACACAGATAACAAAAGAAGGATCATCAAAGAAAAGGGAACAAGTGAACTAAATCAAATAAAATAAACTAGTGGTGGAGCGATAGCACAGCGGGTAGGGCGTTCGCCTTACAAGCGGCCAACATGGCCGACCCGAGTTCGATTCCTCCGCCCCTCTCGGAGAGCCCGGCAAGCTACCGAGAATATTCGATATGTCAGACACAGTAACAACAAAGTCTCCAATGGAGACGTTACTGGGCCCGCTCGAGCAAATCGACGATCAATGGGAGGGCCTTTACCTTTACCACCTTTTAGTGGTGGCAGCCATAGGCAGAGAAGTCAAGATGCTATTCCTGATAGAACATCTGAACATGCCTGATTCTTTGAAAATGGCAACCAACTTTCTGGAACAAGGCAAACTCACTCAGAGTTGCCAGCATGCCAGCCTTGGGGCAAGGGTGTCACTCACATGGGTCTAACTGGGTGGCCAACTTTTCTTGTACAAAGGTGACACTGCATGGCACTGCTTTGCTTTACATTTTTGAGTTCCCTAGATCAATGGTTTTCGACATCCATCTTCTGACACCAATCTGCAGTTTTAAGTGGTTGAAAATCATTGCCCCAGACTACACTTTTACCCCATATCTTTGTTTGCATGTATAGGATGAAGCAAATCTTTCCCATTCCTTTCTAAGTAAGTGCACCTGTAAGGAGTGAGTTACTTTTCTCAGTATTTCCTTGGCTTCACCTCTACCAGAGTGTTCCTGTGGAACCTCCCAGATAACTCCCCACTCAGGGACTTTTCCTCCTTCACTAATCCCACTGCATAGATAGACCCTTGTTAGAGCCTACTTACCTGAATCCTGTCACAGTCACCATTTTGAAGCCTGGTAGAATACTGTAACCTTTCCAGAACTGGAAAATAAAGCAAGATCGATGGATGCTATGTATCAAAGTCAAGTAAGAGATAAGTCAAAAGATTTAAAGCAGTGTTTAAAAAGTGTATATTCCTCATTAAATAATATTTTGTGAACTGGCATGGACAGATATTTTAGAAAGCAATTTCTAGCAATTGACCTACATTAGTCTAGAGTCCTCAAAAAAACCAAAGAACTCAGGGAATTGCCTGAAGAAAAAAATGGGGACAGGGCAGGTAAAACAGGGGCAGCTATTAAGTCCAGTGCAAGACAGCAGGAAGGAAAGTTGGATAAAATCATTCTACACTGGGCCTCAGAAAGTTCCATTAGACACGTAGAGTTCCATGTTGATCATACCCAGACCTGCTGTGCTCATTCATTACCAGCAGGCAAGCAGGAAGCATGGAGTGACATGGAAATAGAAGGTGGGACCCTTAAAAATTTTATTTCCTGGAGCTGGAGATACATGAGACACATTTTTATGGTCTGCGTATATCCTACTTATAATTTTTTTAAAAAGTAATTGTTTATTTATTTTATTGAATCATCATGAGAGAGAGAATTGCAAATCGATTCATGATTGGGTTTCAGTCATACAATGTTCCAAAACCCATCCTTCCATCAGTGTAATTTCCCAGGACCAATGTCCCTAGTGTCTCTCTCACCCCACCCAACAAACCAATGTTGTTTTGATAGTTTTGTTTTGTTTGTTTCTGGGCCTCACCCTGTGCTCCACGGCTTACTCCTGGCTCTGTTTTCAGGGATCACTCCTAACAGGGCTTAGGTGACCACATTTGGGTGCCAAGATAGAATTTGAGTCAGTTTCATGCAAGGCAAGCACCTTATCCACTCTACTATCTCTCTAATCCTATGATGATGTTTTTATTCCACTTGTCTCTTTGGATACTTATCAAGTCAGATTCTATTACTTTGGCATATTTATAGTTCATATGTAATGTGAAAGCACAGTGCCAAGTAATGGGATGAGTATGATCAAAAGTAACTGTATGACCTTCCTTTTCCTCAAAAGTATATATGGCATATGTGTGAAAATGTTCTCACGCTATGCAGAACTATTACTTGAAAATAAGAATTGCAAGTACTCTTCCAAGTCAGCACTTCATCATGGTGTATGCTGAGTGGTCAGTGTGAGTGGTAGACTATTCCTGGCATAAGCCAGAGGTTAGCTGATCACATAATTAAGGGACATCATTATCTTAATTTATGACATGCATTTGGGAGACACATTTTCTGATAAACTAACACTTGCAGATCATTTATAGTTAGATTAATTAATCCAATGTAAAACATTATGACTATTGTCTTGGGTTGAAGAGACAGTACAAGAGGTAAGTCATTTGCTTTGCAAATAGCCATTCTGGGTTCCATCACTGGAACCCCATATGGTCCCTTCAGCTCCACCAGGAGTGATGCTGCAGTGCAGAGTCAGGAGTAAGCTCTGAGCACAATTGGGTGTGGTCCTCAAAACAAAAACAAGCAAGAAAAAAGAATGGTGTCTGGTACACAATTACCACTTAGAAAATATTCTCTATTTTAACATGAGTAAATTTACATCTGTCTTAAGTGTGACATCCTCTAGTACGAGTACTTTAGAACACTCTGTGTTCAGTCTTGGGTTGGTTTTCCAAAAACAAGGAATGGATTAAATTGTACTCTAATGGAGATAAATAGGAATATACCATTTGGTGCACACAGACTAGACTTTTGATGAATAGAGTTTAGTGAATTGATGCCAGCAGATATTATCTGAATCAATTCAAGGGGAAGATGTCCCACCAATAAGTCAAGATGGTGTCAAATCAACCTCTAAACACTTAGTGATTTATCATTTCAGACATAGGAATGATTTAGATCCACATTCAAATACAAGTAAGCTGATATTATGACTACAACAGATTCAATAAGACCAAAAATGTTGGTTAAGAGGATCTTACAGGACTTAGGGGGTATGGTGCTTCCAGCAGGTCAATCGGTAACTGTGAGGCAAGTGCATCAGCAGCCTGATAGCGCCTTTAGACTTCCAGATGCCCCAAAATTGCTGCTGTGCCTTTGGCCAGACCCCAACAATTTGGGGCAAAGTTTACCAAGAAAGTAAATGGCCAAAAGTTAGGTATGTTGGAGACCACCCACAAACTACCTCCAGCTCAGCTTTATAATTGGAGGCAAGCCTTCTCTGATTTCTGATCGAACTGCTTAATGACCATGATGCCAGAGACTCAGAAACAAATCTCAGAACCCAGTGGCTTTTGGCAGAAATGCATCCGGTCCCTGCAGTGGGTTACCAGTGCCGGGCCACCCCAGGTGGGAATAGGTTTCGTGCCTTGACCTGTTCCCTCTGGTGGCTCGGTGGCTGCCACCCTCCAGAGGCCATTGGACGGTCAGGTTTGGGTCCACATTGACAAGACACGTAGGGCCTCATAGGTTGAGGGTGGAGTCAGTCCTTTCTTCCCGACCCCATCAAGACCCTGAGTCACCACCCAAGAAATGGTCTCTCTGGCTCCTGATCAAGCTGCTTAACAGCTATGATCCTAGAGACTCAGAAACAAATTTTGAAACCCATTAGCTTTTGGCAGAAATGAGTCCGGTCTCTGTAGTAAGTTACCAGTGCCAGGCCCACCCAGGGGGAAAAGGGTGCTGTCCCTCCACCTGCTTCCCCCTTGGCAGCTTGGTGGCTGCCATCCTCCAGAGGTCACTGGACAGTCAGGATTGGGCCCACAATGATGAAACACAAGGGGCCTCACAGGATGGGGGTGGAGATGGCCCTTTCATCTCCGCCCCAATGAGACCCCGAGTTGCTGCCCACAAACGGCCTCTCTGTCTCCTAATCAAGCTGCTCAACAGCCATGATCCAAGAGACTCAGGAACAAATCTCAGAACCCAGCAGGTTTTGGCCAGATTTAATTGTTAAAATTTTGGAATTCCAAAATCATCACACGGCCACTATTGTGGCCTCATGACATCATATGCTATTCATAACCACAATAGACAACAAATTATTTACGGTTGCTTTATTGGCAGATCTGAGTGCTGGGGTAATATCCCAAATAATAATGGTGGATCTGGTGTCAAAATATTGAATGTAATCAAAGTAGAGAGAGAGAGTAATGTGGAAATCTTCTGCCCCACAGGTATGCGGAAGGTCTGGGATGGGGTATACTGGGGTTTTTGGTGGTGGAAAATGGGCACTGGTGAAGGGATGGGTGTTTTGTTGTATGACCTAGACTTAAACCTGAAAGCTTTGTAACTGCTCTCATGGTGATTCAATAAATAAAATTATATAAAAAAGGGGAGGGGGTAAAGAGAATCTTATAGGACTAGAGAGATAATGAGCACTGATGGATGTGTCCCTAAACCCCTCTGCCCCACCTTCCCTTAAATATAAAAGAGGATCCTAGAATCAAAATTTACCGCTGTTTCAAGGTCAGTCTTGTAGGATCTATAGAGAGCAGAGGATGAGTTCTTGAGGTCTTCTTGAAAGCCCACATTGAGTCTAACTGACATTTTCAAGGTAACATCTACTGCAAAATACAGGACAATATTTAATATCTCATGTTAGTATTTAAGTACATAAGGATAGACAAATTATTACTTGAGCAGATTTCAAAACAATGTCAAGCATTTAATGGGTAGTTACTCACCTCCCCTTAGCTGGCAAAAAGGTCCCTTGGGAGGCAATCCTTTAAGGCAATTGCACTGGTGTCCTGCAGGGATGTTGTCAAGCTCTTGACAGGTGAGATTGTTGAGACACCTTTCCAGAGGCCACCTATAGTCTGCCTCACAGGAGCACCAGATTTCATTCCCAGCAGGTCTGCATACTATCACCAGTCAGAACAGTGAGAAAAGAGAAAGTGCTCACACCCTTTTGCTTGTATTGACTAGGAGCAAGAAATCCTAATTTAACTGCACGGTGCCTTCCAAGAAGCTCAATAGTGCTCTATGTGATCATGTGACTCCTGTATGTATTGCTGTTCTACCATTCCACACTCTGAGTGCTACAATCCTCAGATTGGTAGCCAACTCCCAAGATGGCCCCTTACTTTGGGGGCATTGACACTCCGATGTATTTCTTTCTTATATTATTCTTGTGTTGGTCAGTGTGGCCATTTAAATATGGCAAAAGTAATGGCATCTTACTTCAGGTATTGGGTTATCAAAGGCAAATTGCTTTTTTTCCTCCCTCTCTTTCACGCAAACACATATTTTCTCTCTTTCTCTATCTCTCTCTATCTCTCTTTTCATTTGCTCTGAGAGAAGTCAGTTGCCATAGCATGAAAAACTGAGACACTCTATGGTGAGGAGCTGAAGTTTCCAGTCTAGAGCTAGTCTGGAACTCAGAACTGCAAAACCATATGAATAATCTTAAACGTGGATTTTCAAGGCCAGTTAAATCCTTTGAATGACTACAAGTCTGGTCGATAGTTTGATGACAACCCTATGAGAAACCTTGAGCCAGTCTCATGCAGTGAAGCTTTTCCCAGAATTCTAGGTTACTTCATTAATATTTGTTTTAAGATGAAAATTTGGGGGGTAATTAGTTAACGAGTTAAATGTGAAACAATAGAGTACAGGTAAAAATTGTATCTTTTACCTTTTTAGTCAAATGTGAAAATCCCAAATTGACTCTGACTCTACTGGGGACATAGGAAAATGCTCTGAGAACAGAGGGCTTTGAATTTATTTTTAAAAATGGACCAAATTTATCTCACAGGGAGCTAGCAATTTGTTCTTGCAGATAGGCATCTAGGCTGGAGCTCAGAGTTTGGTGATATACAGGAAAACCATGAAGTAATTAGTATGATTGTTCACCAATGCAAACTTTATTTCAGCCCCAATCTCCTCTGATCTAATTCCACTCTGAGTTACCTCTCTAAGGCCCTACAGAGGCTGCAGTTCATAAAGCCCAGAATCTCTAGTTAACTTTCAGAAAGGAATCACCTTCTCAATATGTAAATAACTATTCTCTCTGACAAGATAAAGTAAACTTTTTGAGGGCATTTGCATTTTTTTTATTGTGAGGGAGGTATGTGGGGTTTAAGCTCCAGCCAGTGGTGCTCAGGGCTTACTCCTGACTTTGTGATCTAGGATCAGACCTGGTGTTGCTTGGAAAACGAGACCGCATCCAGTGTATCACAGGGAGACTGAACCAGTGTCAGCAACTTATATGGCAAACCCCCGAACCCCTTTACTATCTCTGGACTCAGAATTTATCAGTAGTAGGGATTTGTTTCTGGAAGTCTCTGAAGTAAACAATTAAATAAAATCACACTGCAAGCCTGGGGGGGGGGGGGGCGGTCATTTCACTTATCTAAAGTGTAATTTCCTGTAACTAATCTTCCATTTCAAAGCAATGGGGTTTTATGTTTGTCTTGTTTTTGTTCTGGGGCCAATTCTCAGGACTTAATCCTGGTCCTGTGCTCAGGGATCACTCCCAACAGGGCTCCGGGATAGGGATAGAGATATGACAGCTTTATGGGATGCTATGAAATGAGTCTTGGTCAGCTACATGCCAGACAGACAAGTGCCTTACCCATTGTATTATCACTCTAGTCCCAGCAATGGGTCTTTGACTCACCTGTTGTCACCTCTAGGCTCAAGATGTTTGTGGCTGGATCAGTATCATTCCCTTGAATTGGAAATTTGAGATTGTCCAAGTGAGCTATGACAGGGTCCAGGAAGGAAACATTTTCAAAACTGATCTCAATATCAAGCGTGTAATCTTCAGCTACAGGACTACTCACAGCAACTGAAATAAAAGTACAAGAAAGGTGTGAGAACTTATTTTGGTTGGCAGATAAAGCACAAAACAAATTTGGAGGTTGGACAGATCAATCTTCATGAGTTTCCAATGAGTTTTCCTAGAGAAAAAAAAAAACTATCATCAACACCTAGGCTCCTCTTTTATGTTGCTTCCTTTCTACAACTTCACTATGTAAAGAAAAAGAGCAGCTGTCTTCTTCTTCTTCTTCTTCTCCTCCTCCTCCTCCTCCTCCTCCTCCTCCTCCTCCTCCTCCTTTTGAAAGATTCACAGGCTGAGATTGGGACTTATCTTTCTTCTTACTCCCTCATCTTCTTCCTGGTGTTCAAAGCCATTTCTGTTTTTTTCTTATGATAATGAACTATAATGGAACAGAATAGAAACAAGGAACCCACAGGAAGGCTTTGGCTAATAATAATGTCATGGTCTCGATTCACAGGAACATCTGCATTTCCAAGACCATTCAGTTGGCATACATGTGTTTTGTGAGTTTAAGATAATAACTTGAGGGGCTGGAGCAGTAGCACAGTAGGTAGGGCGTTTGTCTTGCACGTGGCTGACCCGGGTTCGAGTCCCAGCATCCCATCTGGTCCCCCGAGCACAGCCAGGAGTAATTCCTGAGCGCATGAGCCAGGAGTGCATCGTTGGGTGTGCCCCCCCCAAAAAACAGTTTGTAAGTATATAACTGTACCTCATGTTGATTCTCTAATTTTAAAAAAAATCATAACTTCAAGGACTCTAGGAAAAAGACCTTCAGTTTGTCAATGGAAGGTCTTTGCTCAATAGCTTATACAAATAGAATGGTCTCTGTTCTTACCAAGCATTGCCAGTCTCTACACCATGCTCACCAAAAGTACCAGCAATAAATTGTAAAGTAAACTAAAGAAATTTTCTGTTCCTGAGTTCTTTTCCGGTTTGTCTACAGGCTGGTTGACATGCAGGCATTCTAGATTCATACACACACACACACACATTCACTGTAGGCAAGCAAGACAATACATATTGGAATGCTCTTTCACAGTTTCCTATATGACATCACGTCTGGCTTCTAGGCGAAGGGCCTATTTCTTTAATTTCTTATGATGGCCTTACTCACTCTAACTGGTGTGGAGCTAACCACATAATAATTATGTGCTCAATTAATTTTTATTGAACTTATGACCGTTATTGTTGAGTCACAGATTCAGTTCCTTGTTGCTGCAAGAATTTTTGCCTATTCTTGGCTAAAATATATGATTAAGCATAACCTATGGGCTAATTTAATAGCTACTGATAAACATTTAAAATACATTATATGTAAGAATTTATTTACATACATACACTAGGGAGATAAAAATAAGTCCTGGGTTTATTTTTATCTTGAAATTTAGATAAGAAATAGATTATTAAATGCTGTAAAAAATTGATTTAAAATTTAAGACACATTTAAAAGTATGATAGAACTCACCCTAAAATTTAAAATCTATGTTGGTTTCCTATACAAGCAAGTAGCTTTTCTATAATTTTGCAATATTAACTTTATTTAAACAAAATTTTATTTAAATGTTCAATAACTATTAATGTGAAAGTTAAAAATAAGTAAGCCTATTATGGGAAACTCCAATTGGGAAGTGTGCTCTATAGGAAGTTGTAAAAAATGCTTGCTTAGAGTAGCAAAATATGGAGAATCGCTATGTTGGCATCATTCAACTTTCTGTAATTAATTCAAACTTTTAAAAAAATCCTTGCTAATCTAGTTTTAAAATCAAAATTATTTTCTATCTATGAAAATGTATCTTTAGGGGCTGAAGAAATAGTATAGCAGGAAAGGTGCTTGGTTTTCATGCAACAGAGCTAACCACATAGGATTGATCCCCAGAACCACATATGATCCTGACAGGAGTGATCCCTGACCACAAAGCCAGGAGTAAGACTTGAGCTTTGGTAGGTGTGACCCAAAAGTCAAACTTTTAAAAAATGGATTTATAGGGTTGAAGATGTGACTCAAAAATGTTAGAATATAAGCTCTCCATCTGTGCAGTCCTGGTTTGAACTCCTGTATTGCCTCCACCTCTACCCAGATTCTGCCACCTGTGGGCCTTAGGTCAACTAAACAAAATAGTTATAACGAGAATAACATAACTTTTAAAAGCCCCACAGAATCTCTGTCATGATACTGTGGCATTGATTTAAATTTCCTATTTTTTTCTGAGTCTCAAGAGATTCTGCAATGGGAACAAGTTTCCTGGAAGAACTGCTAATCTTAATGTGTGTGATCCTAACTCTAGACGCAGTATGTTTGCTCCCGGGAATAGTTGCAAAGAGAATACTGCCTGATATTTACAATTTCTACTTCAGAGTACATCCTTTTTCCTGAAAAATAAAGCAACCATGTTTATACCCTCCAGAGGATTCACTAGCTTCAGGATTTTCTTTGCCCATGGTCCATGTAGTCTCTTCCCATGAATACAAACAGGATTTCCTGGACAGTAGATTCTTTTCAGATGAGTGAAGACAATAACAACTGCAGACCACCCACTTTATCGCTTCTTCATATGCACTGCTGACCAGATCTAGGCCTGGAGCTAGCATCACATCAATTCTTGCTGAGAGCCTTGCCTCCCTGATATCCTTGAAACTATCTCTCTGCTCGCTTTTCAGACAAAACTGCAGAATAAATGTGTGCCTGGAAAGCACATGGTGATTCATGAATAGCATCAACCCCAACCAAAATCATAACTGCTGTTCCACTGAGATTTTAGAAGGAGATGAGTCAAAAACAACTAAGATGAAAGTCTCTATACCTTCCAGTGTTTGGGATATGTGAGACTGTGAATTAAGCACCAATTTCTAAGACCTCTCCCCTTTTTAGCCTTTTATTTTTCTTTGTTAAAGAAAATAAAATGGAACTTTAGAATAACCCTTAGCCCAAGAGTTACATTGTCCCTCATAAGGGAAATTTTCTAAAATTAAAAAATATATATTTTATTGGTTTTTGGACCACTAGGGGGTTACTCCTGTCTCTGCACTGAGGAATCACTTCTAGAGATGGTGGTTGGGGAACCATATGGGATGCTGAGGTTCAAATGTGGGTCAGCCTTGTGCAAGTCAAATGCCCTTCCCACTGTACTTTCACTCTGGCCCCTAAAAAAGAAAAAAGGCATTTTAAAAGGCTCAGAAACACTATCTCGGATGACTCTAGACTTTCCCTTGGAGATTATTAATTCATATGACCACCACATTTAACTGATGACAAAGTATATCTAGGGAACTCAGACCCAGGTGAGCCAAAATACAATATATAAAGGTAGAGCTAGTAAGTATGCTATAAAAAAAATCAAACTCACTTTTGAACTGGAGACTTAGTACATAGGTTAAGGCACTTGCCTTAAATACTCCCAACCCAATTCAACCCCAGACACTGCATATGGCTCCCTGAGGTCTTGCCAGGAGTGATCCCTGGATATAGAGCCAAGTGACCCCAGGGATCCTCAGTGTGTGGCCCCAAACCAAAACTAAAACATAAAGCTCACTGATGATTCTTATGAGCATAAAAAATGAAGCAGGGTAAGGAAACAGTGTCAGGGGAGATGTCGTTCTGTTTTTAATAATAGTTAGAAAAGACCTTTCTAAAATGGAAAAGGCTGCACAAGAATGAGACTGATCATTGCAGTCACACCATGAAAGGGAACAGGAAAAGTCATTCTAGAAAGAGAAAACACGCATGACAGTCCCAAGACAACCCATTACATGATTTGCTAGATAAATAGAAAGAAGGTGCCCTACAGTGATAGAGAGAGTACAGAGCTTAAGATGCTAGCCTTGCATGTGGTAGACCCTGGTTCCATCTCTGGCACTGCCAGTGGTCTTTAAATAACCATCAGGAGTGAGCCCTGAGCACAGAATCATGAGTAATTCCTGAGAAGCACTGGATATAGGCTAACCAATGCCCTCTCCTCAAACACCACCACTAAAAGAAGAGGTTGACCTAGACAACGTTTCTTCTTGTCTGGATCCTGACACTACACTGTAGTTCCATGAACCAACTCAATAATGAAGCAACCTTGGCATATTTCTTCCCTGTCATGCCCTGGGGAGGGGAGGAACTCTGGGTTTGGGATAGGTATGCTGGATCCTCAGGATCAGTATAACCACATGGATGGTTGAGATTGGAAGCACACTCTGCTCACAGTCCTCATCCAGATTCATTGCTTAGGAGAGAAACGCCAAGTCCTGGGCCAGAGTGATAATACAGAGGGTAGGGCATTTGTCTTGCATGCGTCCAACCCGGGTTTGATCCCTGGCATCCCACATTGTTCCACAAGCACTGTCAGGAGTTAATTCCTGAGTGCAGAGCCAGGAATAACATGTGTATCACTGGGTGTGACCCAAAAAGCAAATAATAAATAAATAAATAAATAAATAAAAACAAAAGTTAAAAGAAAAATCCAAGTCCTAGTTCCTGTCCTCTTTCAAACCTGAGAACTTCAGAGCTGGAGAAAGTGATACTCCGATCCTGGTACAGACTCCAGGGAAATCAGGAGCAACACAGGACAACTCCCCAGCTCTGTGAGATATTGGACACCTTTCTGCTGCTGCCTTGAGACCTTCTGATTTCACACAATTTACTGTGTCTGGTTTTGATGTTTTCCTCTCATGGGCCTTTACAGTGTGTGGGGGTTGTTCTGATGCACTGAGGCCAGGACTGGGAGGTAGCATGGGCCAGGTGTCATGGCGTCATGAATGGAGACCTATCAGCAAACCCAGGAGGCACAAACCAACCAGGATTTCCTCTCTACTTTTCCATAAATCACTGCCCGCCACACAGCACTTATCTTAGCGGCATTTCTGGAAAGTTGGCCAGACTGCGACAAGCGGTTCTAGGTCCTAATCATAGCTGTTTAAGTAAACAATCCTGTTTCTGCCTGGCAACCCTAATGGGGATTGTGGCTCTCAGCAGTTTGAGACTAAGAAGATGAATGAATTAATGCCCCCAACCCCACCCCTTG